GTGTGGGGTTGGGGGTGGGGATGGCATGGGAATGCGGCATGGGAATGGGGCATGGGGCATGAGACATTCGTCATTCCACTCCAATCGTCTTTCCGACTTTGCATTCCTCCACAATCCTCTCTCTCTCTCTCTCTATCTCTCTCTCTCTCTCGAATGGTCCTTTGTTGCTGGGAAATCCTGGGTACATGCTAGGCAAGAGGAGCAGGCACAGGTAAATACTACCGGTGGGGAGGTTTAGTACCCGGTCCTACCACCCCCCCTCCCTCCCCTAATGCTCTAGCACGGCGAAGCAGTCCCCGAGGGACATGCCCGCATCGGGTCCCCCCAAGGGGGGCCACTCCAGCGGTGACACTTCGTTCACCTTCCCCAGGTAGGTTAGTGCCTGTCCCCGTTGGAGGGTGACTGACCAGCGCTGGCGAAACTGGTTGAGTAGTTTCGCCGCCTGGTAAGAGCTGGGGTCGGCGTTGAAGAGGCGCCGGGCAGCCGTGTGGGCTAAAAGTTTGAGGAAGACCGGCACTTCCGTGCAAGGGCAGCCGTATGTCTCGACAGCAAGCGGGAAGAAGCCGACGTATTCTGCCCTGTGGCGGTACATGTCGATCTTCTTGTCCGCCTGCTCCCTGGCCATGTAACCGCGTCCCTTGCGGGCAAGGGGGTCCCTGGAGCTGACTGGGTCCGTGACTGTGACGTCGCAGATCCAGACCGCCCCCGAGTCCCGGTCCCGGATGGCTAGGTCGGCTGTCTTGCCGTCGACCGGGTTGTATAGGGCTGTTTCTTTCGAGACAATGAGTTGTGCGTCTTGGCCCATGCGAATGCATTCGTCCCGGAGGGCGTTGTGTGTATCAGTGCGTCCGTGCCCGTCCCGCAGCGGAATAAGTGGTTGGGAGCCGTGGGTCCGGGATCTCGGTTTTCTTGGCGTAATTGCACACTTTTGGCGCGGGGAAAGGGAGGCCCAGGCGGAAGGCGAGGGCTATGGCGAAGTGAGGAGGTGCCAGCCTGAGTGATGGGAAGAGGGGGACTGCGAGGAGCCAGTCCCCTGCTCCGTACCCTGTGAGGGAGAGGAGCCGCTGCGTGTGACCGCTGAGGGGGTTTAGCTCCATGTGCCTGGTCGATTCTAGCTACTCATGGTCTCTCTCTCTCTCTCTCTCGAACGGTCCGTCGTTGATGGGCAATCCTGGGTACAAACTAGGCATGCCGGATTGGTACAAACTGGTGTCTCGGCTCAGGTGAGTCTCCTATCGGGACCCCGTCTACTCTCGTTCGCCCTGGTGCTCTATCACTGCAAAACAGTCTCCAAGGGACATGCAGGCGTCCGGGGCGCCCAAGGGGGGCCACTCCAGGGGAGAGGCCTCGTTCACCTTCCCCAGGTACGAGAGCGCTTGTCCCCGTTGGAGTGTGATGGACCAGCGTTGCCGGAACTGGCTGAGCAGTTTTGCGGCTTGGTAGGAGCTGGGGTCGGCGTTGAAAAGGCGGCGGCGGCCGTGTGTGCCAGGAGTTTGAGGAAGGTGGGCACCTCGGCGCAGGGGCAGCCGTATGTCTCTACCGCCAGCGGGAAAAAGCCGACGTACTCCGCCCGGCTGCGGTAGTCGTCGATCTTTTTGTCGGCCTGCTCTCTGGCCATGTAGCCGCGGCCTTTACGGGCTAGCGGGTCTCGTGAGCTGACCGGGTCGGTGACGGTGACATCGCAGATCCACACCGCCCCCGAGTCCCGATCCCGGATGGCAAGGTCGGCGGTTTTGCCGTCGACCGGGTTGTAGATCGCCGTCTCTTTGGTGACGATGAATTGGGCGTCCCGTGCCATGCGGATGCACTCGTCCCTGAGTGCGTTATGGGTGTCGGTGCGGCCGTGTCCGGTCCCACAGCGGAACAGGTGGTTCGGGAGTCGTGGGTCCAGGATCTGTACCCGCTTGGTGCAGTTGCACACCTTGGGTGCGGGGAAGGGGAGGCCCAGGCGGAATGCCAGGGCTATGGCGAAGTGGGGGGGCGAGGCGGAGGGAGGGGAAGAGTGGGATAGCGAGGAGCCAGTCTCCTGCGCCATAACCGGTGAGGGAGAGGAGGCGTTGTGTGTGGCCGCTCTTGGGGTTGAGTTCCATCTCCCGGGTGGCCGCCAGCTGAGCAGCAAAACCGTGCCGCGTGGACTTCCAGGGCGAGTCGGTGCTGGAGGGGCTCGTCTGAGGGCTCCAGGCGCTCGGCTCGCAGGAGCTCCAGGGCCGGGGCCGGGAGTGCTGCCTCACACTCCGCCAGCCAGGTGTGAAGTGGGGTGGGCTGGTGTAGGGGGTGCGAGAAGCGCATGCGGCGGTCGCCAAGGGGCCGGTGGGGTCCGAGGGGAGGGAGAGCAGGAGCCTGTGTGCCTGGGCCACGCTGGTCAAGAACGCATGTGGACCGTCCACTGCTGGGTCACTAAGCCCAGGCCCCCTAGGGAGGGTGGGAGTGAGGCCTGCTCCCAGGTGCGTGCAAGTTCCCGCTCTCCCCGTGGTGTCTGGAGTTTGCAGGAGCGGAGGAGGGTAAGGAAGAGCTCCCGCCCCCAAATGGACCATTCCCCCTGTGGGAGCAGGTTCAGTGGGGTTGTGCGGGTGAGGTAAGATACCCGCCGCGCGACGCAGCGGTGGAGGAGGAGGGAGGCGGACTGGGGGTCCATGGCGGCGAGGGCGGGGAGCTGCCTGGCCATGTCAGCCAGCTGCTCGCGCAGGAACTGAGCCGCAGCCTCGTGGGGGCCGATGTGGCTGCCCAGGACCCGCAGTCCAGAGTCGCGGAACGGGATGCCGGGGGGTAGGAGGGAGGGAGGAGTTGGGATTGGGACCAGGCCGCGCACTTAGATGGGTTGTGCGTGAGGCCCAGGGGGGTCAGAGCGTCAGTGAGGTGCGTGAACGCCGCTGTGCACACTGCCGGCTCGCCTAGCAGCGTGATGTCGTCAGCGTATGCTAGGCACAGGACGCTGGGGTAACGCTGCGGCGGTCGCTTGCAGGGCGGGGTGCATGGCGGCGGCAAAGAGCAGCGGGCCCATAGGTCCCCTTGCCGGACGCCTCGAGCGCTGAGCAGGGGCGGCTGTTGAAGCCGGCGTCGAGGTACAGCTGGGAGGGGGCGCCGTACGAGAGTTGGACGAAGGGTAGAGAGGGCGGAGGGGGAGTTATAGAGGCCCGAGACGATGGCGCTGCGATCAACGCTGTTAAAAGCGTTGGTGAGGCGATCTGCAGTAGGAGCGAGGATGGTCGCTCGGTGGCGAACGCGCGGGCCCCGTGGATTATTGCCTCGCCGCCGGCCTTCACCGCGACGCCGAACTGCAGTGGGAGAAAGTGATTGCGCGCCCGATCCGCGATCGAGATGAGTCCTGCTTTGGCGGCAAGCGGTGGAGGCACTCGCCCACGGCGATGGGGCGCGTGCCTCCGTCGGGTTTAGGGAAGGCGAGTAGGCGGCTGGCTGTGAGGAGTGCTGCTACGTCAGGAGTGGAGTCGCCCCGCAGCAATTGAGTTACGAGTTGTGGAGCTTGCTGGCGACGGCGCTGTTGGCGAGGGCTGCATCGCGATGTGTTCGAAGCACATTCCCGAGGGGCCCGCGCCGACCCCGTTTTCGCTGCGACTCAGTAACCTGGTGAACTCTGCGAGCGTGAGGGAGGGGGGGACCTCCGACTCGTCGATGTGTGGCCAAGCGAGTGACTCAGTCAGCGGCGGTGGATGCTTGGTTTTCAACGCCTCGAGGACTTCCTGGGTTGACTCGCTGACCGGTGTCGAGTCGAGGGCCAGCAGGGCGCGCCTCAGGCTGCCTCGGCGGACCAGCCCCTCGGCTCGAGATATTTTGCCGAGGGTGTCCCCTGTGTGACGTGCGCCGGTGGGTCGTGGATGGCGTCCACTGCTGCCAGGTAAAGCTCGTGCCAATCGCCTGCCAGGAAACTGCTGGAGCCTTTTTTCCACGGTGGGCCAGTCAGGGTGCTGTGGCGAGTTGAGGCGAAGGTCAGTCGAGGTGCGAAAAGTAACAGGCACCAGCCCTGGCAGGCTGGTAGGTTGGGCTGCGAGGTGGAGGAGGGGTGTCAGCAGGACGAGGGCGAAAAGCTGGCGGAGTTTGGGGGGGATCTTGCGGGAAAGGGGGGTTGGCGACTGTCGCAGAGGAGCCCGATATCCCAGCTGGCTACCCCCGCGAAAAGCTGTTCGTTGGCGGCTAGCTCTGCTGGCGAAATTTGTCGCTGGGGTTGGCTGGGCTGTTCTGTCGTCCGCTCGTTCCGTGCGTTCGGCCTGTTTCCAGCCGCGGGAGCTGGGGCGTGCCGTGTGCGTCGCGACGCTTGTCCCCGAAATGCTCCGTCTCGAGCGTCCCTTCGGATCCCTCAGTGCTTGACTCGTACTGTGGTTCCTCTCTATAAGTCGGGTCCCTCCTCTCCTCCTCGTCAGTTGCTTGTTCCCTCCGTCTCGCCCTTAAAGCCCGTCCTGCAGCCCTCTGGAAGTCGTTTCGCTGGCCCTCCCCCTGCCATGAGCTCGTTGTGCCCTGCTGCGCTCTCTCCGTTGACCTCCACCCCGTCCCGGGTCTCCTCGCGGCGTTTGTCGCGGCCCGAGGCGCGTCCCTGCCGTCGGTGGGGTGCGGCGGTGAGTGCTCGATGGGAAGCGAAGGGGGGTTTCGCGGCCGTCAGGGGCGATCCGCCGATCTGTCGAGCTCGGCTGATAGCGGGCGCCCCCAAGATCTGGCGAGCTTGGCCGCCTACTCCGCGCCGTTGTGGGAGCGGGGGATCCCCGCTCTCCGAAGCCAGCGGCAGTCGCCAGACCCCGTGTGTTCCCGTGCGGGGAGTGGTTCGGCGGCGCCTGCTCTGCGCGGCGAGCAGGGAGGGACCCTGGGCCCGAGCCGCAGAGCGTAGCGGTGGCCCAGCGGGGTCGTCGCCTCGCCACCCGCTGTCTCGGCCGCCGTCACCGCGGCCGCCGTCTCGGCCGCCCTCCCCCTGTCTGCGTTCGTGCTATTCGTCCCCACGGCGTCCGTCGCGTCCCGCCTCCCCGCGTCCGCCGTCGCGTCCGGCGTCCCCGCGTCGTCGGCCATCGCGTCATTTCGTCGCCGTCGCCACCATCCCACGCTCTGCCTCAGCGGCGACCGAGCCGCTGCCGTCCTTGCAGCTGCCGTCGCGTCGCTCTCCCCCCCGCAGCCGTCTCCCTGCCGATCTCCGGGCCGTCTTGGTCCGCCTGCTGCACAGCCCTGGGGGACTCCTGGGGGCGGCGGCCGTGCTGGACCGCGTCGCGGCCGTCGCGCCGGCCTTGCCGCGCGGACGGCGGCTCTTGAGCGCCAGCTGGCGACCAGCGCGCGGACCCTTGAAGGCATTCTAAGTGGCGTTCAGGCGCTTGCTTCGACCGCGCCGATGGGAGGGGCTGCACAGACCGCGCCCGGTGCGTTGCAACCGCGTCCGTGTCATTTGTTCCCGCCTCTCCTCGCCCCTCCGCATCCGCCGTCGCTGTTTCCGGCGAGTGCGCCCGTGTGTTTCCAGCCGGCGTCGGCGCTCCTGGGACCTCCGCCGTCTGTGTACCGCGGGGCTCGTCTTCCCATGGCGCCTCCCACCCTGGACACACCGGCGGCCTCCAGTGGAGCGCTCCCCGAGTGGCAACCACCTCCGCAGTCCTTCGTCCCCGATCACTGGGCTCCGGGGCTTCCCGCCCGTGCGGCGGGTGTGGGGGTGTATGGGCCCTTCGTGCCACCCCGTCGACTGGCGGTGTCCCCAAATGGAGTTGAGGAGGGGGCAGAAGCAGCGGAGACGGGGGGGATGGAGTCGTCGGAGGAGATCTCCCCCGGGTTCCGTGCCCAGTCCCGGACCCAGCGCCCAGTGGGTACGCGGAGCCAACCGGGGGCGCAGGAGGACGGTCTGCCGGGCAGGCGGCAGACGGGGCAGGTGGTCGCGGTTCCAGCAGCCACGTTCCGTCGGATGTGCCAGACGAGGAGGGCGTTTGGGCTGCTGGCGGTGGTCGTGGAGGCGACGCACTCCGCGCTGCTGGGGTCAGAGAGCTCCCGAAAGATGCAGCACTCACACTTGCGGACGAGTTCGGACGCGGTTGCGGACCTCGTGGTGGTGATGGGGCAAGCGCTGCCCGTGCCCGGCCCGGGAAATGGCTTGGACCCGGCCGGTGGCCGCCGCAATGAAAGCGATGTCGGAGAGCATCGCGTTGGCGTCAGCCGTAGATCTCGCAGGCAGCTGCGCGTCCATGCTGCGCGTCAGCGGCCGTCTGGGAGGTTGGCGAGCGGCCCGTCAGTAGTAGGAGTCCCTCCATGCTGGTGGCATTGGAGCGGGCGCTGTAGGGATTTGTTGTGCCCTTGGGGACTGAACTAAAAACAGAGGAGAATGAGAGGGAGAGGGCCTTATATAGCTTGGGAACCCATGCTCTCTCTCTCTCGCTCTCTCTCTCTCTCGCTCTCTCCGCTAGCAAAGGAAGGAGAAATGAGAACTGAACTAAAAACAGAGGAGAATGAGAGGGAGAGGGCCTTATATAGCTTGGGAACCCATGCTCTCTCTCTCTCTCTCTCTCTCTCTCTCTCTCCTCTCTCTCTCCTCTCTCTCTCTCTCTCTTCTCTCTCTCTCTCTCTCCCTCTCTCTCTAACGGTCCTTTATTGATGGTAGATCCTGGGTACAGGCTAGGCAAGTAAGGTGGGTACCGGCATGCATGGTGTTCGTGGACGGGTTCCTAGTCCCCGGCTATTCCCTTGGGTGCTCAATGACCGCGAAGCAGTCCCCAAGGGACATGCCTGCCTCAGGGGCACCGAGGGGCAGCCCCTCAAGTGGCGAAGCTTCATTCACCTTCCCGAGGTAGGTGAGGGGCTTGACCCCGCTGGAGGGTGACAGACCAGCGCTGGCAGAACTGGCTGAGCAGTTTAGCCGCCTGGTAGGAGCTGGGGTCAGCGTTGAAAAGGCGGCGGGCGGCCGTGTGTGCGAGGAGTTTAAGGAAGGTTGGCACTTCGGCGCATGGGCAGCCATACGTCTCGACTGCAAGCGGGAAGAAACCGACGTATGCCGCCCGGTGGCGGTACTCGTTGATCTTCTTGTCCGCTTGCTCCCGGGCCATGTAACCGCGGCCTTTGCGTGCTAGCGGGTCCCGGGAGCTGACTGGGTCGGTGACGGTGACATCACAGATCCAGACCGCCCCCGAGTCCCGGTCGCGGATGGCCAGGTCGGCGGTCTTGCCGTCGACAGGGTTGTACATCGCCGTTTCTTTCGTGACAATGAGCTGTGCGTCTCGCCCCCATGCGCACGCACTCATCTCGGAGGGCGTTGTGCGTGTCGGTGCGACCATGTCCCGTCCCACAGCGGAGGAGGTGGTTTGGTAGGCGTGGGTCGATGATCACGACCTGTTGGGCGCAGTTGCAGACCCTGGGTGCTGGGAAAGGGAGGCCCATGCGGAATGCCAAGGCGAAGGCATAGTGAGGCGGCGCCAACCGAAGGGATGGGAATAGGGGGATGGCGAGGAGCCAGTCGCCGGCGCCATACCCAGTGAGGGAGAGGAGCCGCTGGGTGTGGCCGCTAAGGGGGTTGGGGTCCATCTCCCGTGACGCAGCCAATTGATTGGCGAAGCGGGCTGCGTGCACCTCCAGGGCGAGTCGGTGATGGAGGGGTTCGTCCGAGGGTTCGGCCCGCTCGGCCTGCAGGAGCGCTAGGGCTGGAGCTGGGAGGGCCGACTCACATTTCGCCAGCCAGGTATGGAGACGCGAGGGGCCGTTGAAGGGAGGGGCCAGGGAGCATGCCGCTGTAGTGAGAGGGCCTGTCGGGTCCGAAGGAAGGGATATGAGCAGCCGGTGGGCCTGTGTGACGCTGGTGAGGAAGGCGTGCGGGCCCTCCACTGCGGGGTCTGCGAGGCCAAGGCCGCCGAGAGTGGGGGGCATGGAGGCCTGTTGCCACGTGCGCGACCGCTCCTGCTCACCCCGTGGGAGCTGAAGATTGCACGAGAGGAGGAGGGTATGGAAGAGCTCCTGGCCTCTCTCTCTCTCTCTCTCTCTCTCCCTCTCTCTCTCTCTCTCTCCCTCTCTCTCTCTCTCTCTCGAATGGTCCTTTGTTGCTGGGGAATCCTGGGTACAAGCTAGGCAGGTGGAACAGGCATAGGCACATACAGCTGGTGGGAAGGTCTGGTGCCCGTCCCTACCCCCCCCCTAGGGTTCTATCACGGCGAAACAGTCCCCGAGGGACATGCCCGCTTCGGGCCCCCCCAAGGGGGGCCACTCCAGCGGAGACGCCTCGTTCACCTTCCCCAGGTAGGTGAGGGCCTGCCCCCTTTGGAGGGTGACGGACCAGCGCTGGCGAAACTGGTTAAGTAGTTTCGCCGCCTGGTATGAGGTGGGGTCGGCGTTGAAGAGGCGTCGGGCGGCCGTGTGTGCCAAGAGTTTGAGGAAAACCGGCACTTCCGCGCAGGGGCAGCCATATGTCTCGACCGCAAGGGGGAAGAAGCCGACGTACTCTGCTTGTGGCGGTACATGTCGATCTTCTTGTCCGCTTGCTCCCTTGCCATGTAACCGCGCCCCTTGCGGGCGAGGGGATCCCTGGAGCTGACTGGGTCCGTGACCGTGACGTCGCAGATCCAGACTGCTCCCGAGTCCCGGTCCCGGATGGCGAGGTCGGCTGTTTTGCCATCGACCGGGTTGTATAGGGCTGTCTCTTTCGAGACGATGAGCTGCGCGTCTTGGCCCATACGGATGCATTTGTCCCGAAGGGCGTTGTGTGTATCGGTGCGCCCGTGCCCTGTCCGACAGCGAAATAGGTGGTTGGGGAGCCGTGGGTCCGGGATCTGGGTCTTCTTGGCGCAGTTGCACACCTTGGGCGCGGGGAAGGGGAGGCCCAGGCGGAAGGCGAGGGCTATGGCAAAATGAGGGGGTGCCAGCCTGAGAGATGGGAAGAGGGGGACTGCGAGGAGCCAGTCCCCTGCTCCGTACCCCGTGAGGGAGAGGAGCCGCTGCGTGTGACCGCTGAGGGGGTTGAGCTCCATGTCCCTTGTCCCCTCCAGCTGCTCGGCGAATCGGGCGGCATGGACCTCGAGGGCGAGGCGGTGCTGGAGCGGTGCGTCTGAGGGTTCCGTGAGCTCGGCTCGCAGGAGTTCCAGGGTTGGGGCTGGCAGTGCTGCTTCGCACTCGGCTAGCCAGGTGTGAAGGGGGGTAGGGCTGTCGTAGGGTGGTGCGAGGGAGCGGGCCACTGTCCCGAGGGGGCCCGATGGGTGTGAAGGGAGGGAGGCCAGGAGCCGTTGGGCGTGCGTGACGCTGGTAAGGAGGGCATGGGGGCCCTCGACCGTGGGGTCTGTCAGCCCGAGCCCTCCGAGGGAGGGGGGGAGCGAGGCCTGTTGCCAGGTGCGTGCCATCTCCTGTTCCCCCCTAGGTAGCTGGAGGTTGCAGGCCCTCAGGAGGGTGAGGTAGAGTTGCTGCCCCCACTGGGACCACTCCTGTGCTGGTAGCAGGTTCAACGGTGTCGTGCGAGTCAGGTAAGAGACTCGGCGAGAGACGCAGCGGTGGAGGAGGAGGCTGGCAGACTGTGGGTCCATGACCGCCAGGGTGGGTAGTGGCTTGGCCATCGCGGCTAGTTGCTCCCGCAGGAAGCTGGCCGCAGCGTCTGGTGGGCCGATGTGGCTGCCCAGGATCCGCAGCCCGGAGGCGCAGAAGGGGATCCCGGGGGGGAGGGGGTCGAGGGGGGGGTGGGCCGCGGACCACGCCGCGCACTTAGCCGGGTTGTGGGTCAGGCCCAAGGGGAGTAGCGCGTGGGTGAGGTGGGTAAATGCGGCAATGCATGCGGCCGGCTCCCCCATCAAGGTTATGTCGTCGGCGTATGCCAGGCAGAGGACGCCGGGGAACGCTAGGGCTGTCTCGCGTAGGGCGGGATGCATGGCTGCGGTGAAGAGCAGGGGTCCCATGGGGTCCCCTTGCCTGACGCCGCGAGCGCTGAGGAGGGGCTGGCTGTCAAAGCCCGCGTCCAGGAAGAGAGTGGAGGGGGCGCCATAGGATAGGCGCACGAAGGGGAGGAGGGGTCGGAGCGGGGAGTTGAAAAGTCCCGTGATGATGGCCCCGCGGTCGACGCTGTTGAAAGCGTTAGAAATGTCGAGTTGGAGCAGGAGGGCGGACGGGAATTCCGTGGCAAAGGCTCTTGCGCCATGGATTATCGCCTCGCCGCCGGCCCGTACCGCCACTCCGAACTGTAGTGGGAGGAAGTGGTTTTGGGCGGGCTCAGTCATGGCGGCTAGGCCCGCTTTCGCCACTAGGCGGTGGAGGCATTCGCCCACTGCTATTGGGCGTGTGCCTCCCTCGGGCTTTGGGAATGCTAGCAAGCGGCTAGCTGTGAGGAGCTCAGCTACCTCTGGCGTGGTAGATCCTTTTAGGAGGATTTCTGCTACCCCGTGGAGTCTGCTGGCGACCGAGGCGTTCGCGAGGGCTGCGTCGCGAAGATGCTCGAAACACATGCCCGACGGTCCCGCGCCGACTCCGTTTTCGCTGCGGCAGAGTAACCGAACGAAATCCGCCAGCGAGACGGAGGGGAGAGGCTCGGACTCGTCGAGGGTGGGCCAGTCAAGGGACTCGGTCAGAGGGGGGGGGTGTTTGGAGGTCAGCGCGGCAAAGGACCTCTGGCGTTGACTCGCTGACCGGAGTTGAGTCCAGCGCCAGCAGGGCACGCCTGAGGCTGCCACGACGGACGAGGCCCTCGGCGCGGGATATTTTGCCAAGGGTGTCGCCGGAGTGTCGTGGCGAAGGTGGGTTGTTGATCGAGTCCACTGCTGCCAGGTACAGCGATTCCCATTCGCCGGCCAAGAACTGCTGAAGTCTCCGCTCAACCGCTGGCCAATCTGGGTGGCGCGGCGAATTGAGGCGAAGGGTGAGTCGGGGGGTGAAAAGTAACAGGCGCCATCCAGCGAGGCTGGATGGGTTGTTTGCGATGTGGAGCAAGGGTGTCAGCAGTGCGAGGGCGTAAAGCTGGCGGAGTTTGTGGGGGATTCGACGGGAAAGGGGGGGCTGGCGGCTGTCGCAGAGTAATCTGATGTCCCAATTTGCGATCCCCGTGAAAAGGTGTTCGTGTTTCGCCAGGTCTTCTGGCGAGAATTGGCGCGAAGGTTGGCTGGGCTGTGCCTCGCTGTTCCCAAAATTCCGCCTATGCAGCACTCGCCGCTCGCGTTGATTCCGCCCTGCTTGCCTCTGCCCCCGATCCGGTCTATCGCGTTCATCATCCCCAGCTGAATCTTCCGTGCTAGTCTCTTCCCTTGTCTCCTGCCTATAAGTGGCATCCGCACGCTCCTCAGCAGCATTCGTGTTGTCAGCCACGTTTTCTCTTAAAGCCCTTCCCACAGCCCTGTGGAAGCCGTTCAGTGGTCCACCGTTAGCCATCTGACTTGGTGAGTGCCCGCGCCCCCTGCCACCGCGTCGTCCTCGCGAGCCGCTGCCCCGCGCTGCTGAGCGTGGTGTAGGCGGGCGTTCGCCCCGTTGTCTCGCCGTGCCATTTCTGGGGCTCATCGGCAGGTCGGATGGCCGACCGAGCCAGACACGCTCGGAGGGAGCGCTCCGTTGACCGTGAGAGTTCGGGGGAAAACGTCCCCCCCCGAGGTCGGTCGAGCTCCCCCCCTCAGTCGGACCAGCGGTGGGCGCGTGGGCTCCCAATGCCGTCCACGAGCGCGCCAGCGTCCCCCCAGCGGATGCGTGCGTCGACGCCACCTCGGCTGGAGGGGCGGGCGGTGGTGGCGGTCGCAGAGGTCCGCCGGTGTCCACCTGCAGTAACGTCGCCACCTGCGGAATCGCGTGCGGTGAGCCCCCGTCCCCCTCCCGTGCTACCGTCCCGGCCCCCTCCGCCCCAGCCTCGATTGGCGAACGGCCCATCGGGGCGAGCTGGCACGCGTCGGGGGCGGAGGGGGAGCGCGCTGGAGAGGCGGCTGGCGCGAACTGCCGCGACGCTGGAGGGGATCCTCGAGCGGGCTGGCGCCGGGTTGCTCCCGTCTCCCCAGCAGCCGGTCCTTCCCCGGCAGCTCCCCCACCAGTTGCAGCCCCCATTCCCTCCTCAGAATCTTCCGCCGTCCCTCCCCTACCCGCCGGCGCCGGTTGGGGCGGATCCTCCTCAGTTGCCGCTTGTCCGCGCGCGTCCCGCGTTGGTGCCTGGGTGTGAGCAATCGCGCCCCCCTTTTCCGCCACATCCCCTGTTAGCACCGCAGCCCAACGCGCCGCTGCAGCATTTGCCGCCTGGGGTCCCGCATTCTGCCCTGCGTCCGGGTGCGCCCCAGCAGTCCCCGCACATGTCGTTCCCCTCCCCCCCGGGGAGTTACGACGCGCACCATCGGTCCCCGCCAGCGCCTCAGATGGGCGGCCCCGCGTCGTCCGCCGATACTCTCCCGGAATGGCGTCCCCCCTCGCCCTGGGCTGAGGTAGCGGAGTGGGCCGGTCCCCAGGTGGGGCTCTACCGCGGAGGGGGTGTGGTCGGCCCGTTTGTCCCCCCCCGGCGGCGTGCGCCGTCTCCACAGGGCGTCGAGGCGGGGGCAGAAGCAGCGGAGACGGGGGGAGCGGCTTCATCGGGGGAGGGGTCTCCCCATCGAGCCCGAAGGGCCGGGGCGGCGGCGCAGAGGAGCTCGCTGACGGTGGGGCTGGAGCAGGCGGCTCCCGGGGCGATATCGGTCCCAGCTGCCACACTTCGTCGTCTAGGGCACGTGTGGAGGGGGACGGAGATAGTGGTGACGATTCTGGCGGCAGCGAGCTCCGTTCTGGGGAGCTCAGCGGGCCGGTCAATGGCCCCGTACTTTCCCCTTCAGGGCTGCATGGAAGCAGCCATAGATCTCGCGGTGGAGGCTGCGCGCGCGCAGCCCGGGCCCGCCCGGGGAAATGGCACGGACCCTCGTTTGCTCGCCGCACTCCGCCAGGTGTCGGTGAGCATAGACTCGGCGTCAGCTGCAGGACTTGTAGCCGGCGCCGTGTCCACGCTGCAGGTCCTGGTGTCGTACCAGGCCGCGCTGCTAGAGGAGGCCGGGCTTGCGGAAGTCGCGGAATAGCGGAGCGGCGGTTGTAGGTGCAGCGGGGCGGGGAGTCTTGTAATCCGAGCGCCCTCGTGCGGCGGATCAGATCCTCCATTCGTGTTGTGTAGTCAATGGAAGGGTGTCGTAGGATGCTGTTGTGTACCGTCATTTAGTGCCTTGTCCTGTTGGTGTCGCTTGCCATCCTCTAACCGCGCGGCCGGAGGCCGCGCCGCGAGCGACGGCGGCCGAAGGCCGCTGGCGCGAGCCGCCACCAAGGGTGGGAGAAAAGAAAGAACTGAAAACTAAACAGGAAGAATGAGCTAGGGAGAGAGCTTATATAGCTAGGGAGGGACTCATGCTCTCTCTCTCTCGCTCTCTTTCTCCTCTCTCTCGCCACCAAGGGTGGGAGAAAAGAAAGAACTGAAAACTAAACAGGAAGAATGAGCTAGGGAGAGAGCTTATATAGCTAGGGAGGGACTCATGGTCTCTCTCTCTCTCTCTCTCTCTCAAGCGGTCCTTTTATTCCTTGGAAACCTTGGTACAGGCTAGGCAGGCAAAGGGCAGCAAGTCAAGGTACGTGCATGCTCTAGGGGCTCTGCTATGGCAAAGCAGTCCCCAGGTGCCATATCGGCGTCAGGGGTGCCCACTGGGGTGTGGGTGGCGGGGGAGGCTTGATTTACTTTGCCCAGGTAAGCCAAGGCCTGCGCCCGCTGCAGCGTCACTGACCATCGTTGACGAAACTGGTGGAGCAGTTTCGCTGCCTGGTAGGAGCTTGGGTCTGCATTGAAGAGTCGCCTGGCCCCTGTGTCTGCCAGCAGCTTCAAAAAGGTAGGGACCTCGGCGCAGGGGCAGCCATATGTCTCGACCGCCAGTGGGAAGAAACCAACGTAGGGAGCCCGATTTCGGTAATGGGAGATTTTCTTGTCGGCTTGTACCCGGGCCATGTATCCTCGTCCTTTTCGTGCGTCCGGATCTCGGCTGCTGATGGGATCTGCGACGGTGACGTCACAGATCCAGACGGCTCCGGAGCTGCGGTCTCAGAGGGCGAGGTCGGCCTTGTGGCCGTCTACAGGGCTGTAGATGGTGGTCTCCTTGGTGACTATAAAGTCAGCGTCTCGGGCCATCCGTATGCTCTCGTCCCGCAGGGCATTATGGGTGTCAGTCCGTCCGTGCCCAGCGCCACACCGAAGCAGGTGGTTGGGCAGCCTAGTGTCGAGGATTTCGAATTCCTCGGCGCAGTTGCAAGTGCGGGGGGCTGGGAATGGGAGGCCGAGGCGGAAGGCCAGGGCAATGGCGAAGTGTGGAGCTTCGAGGCGGAGGGCTGGGAAGATGGGGATGGCATGAAGCCAGTCCCCTGCTCCATATCCAGCCAGGGAAAAGAGGCGTTGGGTGTGCCCGGAGTGTGGGTTTGGGTCCATTGTCCGCGTGGCTGCCACCTGGTCGGCGTATCGCACGGCCTGGACTTCGAGGGATAAGCGGTGTTGGAGAGGGGAGCCTGAGGGTTCCCTCCTCTCGGAGTGCAGGAGCTCCCGGGCTCGTGGGGGCATCGCCATTTCACACTTCGCCAGCCAGGTATGCAAGTGGGTGGGGCTGGTGAAAGGTGGCGTGAGGTGCCGGACAGTATCAGCCAGGGGCCCTCCTGACGCTGCTGGGAGGGCAGCCAAGAGGCCCTGGGCTTGGGTGAGGCTGGTGAGGTAGGCTGGGTGTCCCTCAATTGCGGGGTCGGTTAGACCCAGCCCTCCGAGAGAGGGAGGGAGGGACGCTTGAACCCAAGTGCGCGCCCGCTCCACCTCGCCTCGTGGTGGTTGGAGGCTGCAGGCTCGCAGGAGAGTATGGAAGAGCTCCCTACCCCAGTCGGACCAGACGTCCAGGGGTAGGAAGTCAAGGGAGGTGGTGCGGGTTAAGTATGAGACACGCCGAGATACGCAGCGTGTGAGGAGGAGGGATGAGGACTGAGGGTCCATTGTGGCCAGTGTGGCGAGGGGTTCGGCTAGCAGGGCTAGCTGGGTGCGGAGGAATGCGGCTGTGCCCTCGGCTGTGCCTATAAAGCTGCCAAGCACGCGGACCCCTTCTGTGTTGAAAGGTATGTCTGGGGGAAGGCGGTCGGGTGCAGGGCGCTCGGCTGACCATGCTGCGCATTTCGTGGGGTTGTGGGAGAGACCGATGCGGTCCATGGCGGCTGTGAAGGTGAGGAACGCCAAGGTGCAGGCGTCTGGGTTGCCGACGAAAGTGACGTCGTCAGCGTATGCGAGGCAAAGGACCTCGGGGTGGGCCGCGGCGGTTGCCTGGAGGGCTGGGTGGATGGCTGCTGCGAAGAGGAGGGGGCCCATGGGGTCCCCTTGGCGAACTCCCCGTGCGCTAAGTATGGGCGGGCTATCAAACTCGGCGTCGAGATAGAGCAGAGACGGCGCGCCATACGAGAATTGTATAAATGGAAAGAGCGGGCGGAGGGGCGAGGTGTTGATTGCGTGGATGATTGCCCCCCGGTCAACGCTATTAAAGGCGTTCGAGAGGTCGACTTGTAGGATGAGTGAGCCCGGGCGCGCAGAGGTAAAGCCCCTGGTGGCGTGGATGATTGTTTCCCCGCCGCTTCTGATGGCTACCCCGTATTGGTGTGGTAGGAAGTAGTCTTGCGCGGGTTTCGTGGAGGAGATTAGCGCAGATTTTGCCGCTAGCCGGTGGAGACACTCGCCTATAGCGATGGGGCGGGTACCCCCATCCGGTTTGGTAAGGGCCAGGAGGCGTGAGGAGGTAACGAGCTGGCTGACCTCGTGTGGCAGGTTACCCGCGAGTAGCCGCTGGACGAGTTTCTGAAGATGTGTGGCGACGGAGGGGTTGGACAGCGAGGCATCGCGCAGGTGCTCGAAGGTCATCCCGGAGGGGCCTGCCCCAACTCCATTTTCGGAGAGAGAAAGGAGCTTCGCGAACATAGCGAAATCGACTGTCGGTGGCCTGCAGTTTTCGTCGAGCTGTGGCCAGGTGAGGTTTTCGACAAGCGGAGGGGGGTGTTTTGACTGTAGCGCGTCCAGGACCGCGGGGGTGGACTTGCTGACTGGGGTCGAAGTCAACACGAGCAGGGCCCGTCGCAAACTGCCTCGTCGTACCAAGCCCTCGGCGCGGGATATTTTCCCAAGGGTGTCAGGTACGTGGCGGGGAGGGGGTGGCAGGGTGACAGCAGAGGCGGCTGCTTGATACAGCGTGTCCCATTGGCCCGCGAGAAATTGTCGAAGGCGTCTTTCCGTCGCGGGCTAGTCAGGACGTCGTGGTGAAGATAGGCGAAGAGTGAGGCGCGGGAGGTAAAGCAACAGGATCCAACCCTCGATGGAGGTTGGATATTTGGCGAGGAAAAGGAGGGGTGTCAGTAGGGCGAGCGCGAAGAGTTGACGGATTTGGGGGGGTAACCGGCGGGAGAGAGGGGGTTGGCGACTGTCGCAGAGAACTGCAATGTCCCAATTGGCGATGACGGCGAATCGGGAGGGGTCATTCGCCAGTTCTTCCGGGGACAGCTGCGGAACTGCCTGGGGATGGGTGTCCAGCGGTGCCCGAGTATTGGGCATGCGGCTGGACCCTCGTCCCCTAGATCTGGGAGTTGGGTCAGCCTCGCTTCCTCCAGCGCGCCTGTTTGTCGCGACGCCTTCCTCCTCACTGGAGGTCTCAGTCGTGGGTTCTTCCTGCTCCCCTGGTATATAAGTTCCGTCTGCCCGCTCCTCCTCACCAGTTGTTCTTTGCAGTTCCGAGGCACTTAAAGCCCTGTTCGCTGCCTGCTGGAATCCGTTCAGCGGTCCTCCGTCGGAGGACAGATTGCCGCGCCTTGCCGCCCCGCGACCGCGCCCTCCGGCTGATCGTGTATTGAGTCTTCCGCGTCCGCTTCCGTGGTTTCCTCTCGGGGCGGCCCTGGTCGCCGTTCGGCTTTCGTGCCGAGTCGTGGGGGGTGCCGAGTGCGGCGCGCCTCCCCGGGATGGAGCGACCTGCGCGGGAGCGTTCTGCCGATTTGGAGAGTACTGGGGATAGCGAGTCCCCCCAAGGTCGGGTGAGCCCGCCAGCACAGTCGAACCGTGATTGGGAGCGCGGGCTCCGCGTCCCCTCGACGGTCCGCCAGCAGAGCCCCGAGCGGATGCGTGGGCAGTCGCGTGGCCGACCAAACGCGCCCCAGAGGCACGAGGAGAAATCTCCCGAGCGCTCCTCGGAGACCGGTCGTGCACCCGCGGCTCATGGCGGGGTGCATCAGACGCCGCGGCAGCAACATCCCTCTCGCCAGGGGACGCCTCAGCGCCGTCCACAAGCGGAGCCGGTGCAGCAGCGCCGGACTCCTCAGGCGCTGCGCGGTCGTTCGGGCCAGCGCGTCGGCTGGAGGTCTGGCGGGGGAAGTAACCGCGGATCTGCTGCGGAGAGGCGCCTGGGGCGGGCTGCTGCAACTCTGGAGGGCTTGGTCCGTGCTGTCGCCCAGCCCCCGCAGGCTCTGGCGTATTCCCCGCAGCTCCTGTCGTCCCAGCAGTACCAGCAGGCACACCAGCAGCCCGTGCGTTTCCCCCTGCCTCAGGTGCCGGCGCAGGTGTTCCCTCCCCGTGTGGTGTCCCCCCTGCTCCCCGGCAGCCAGCACCTCGTGCCGCCCCTTCTGTCTGCGCCTCCACCGCCGATCCTCCCCTCTGCTGGTCCTTTCGATCCGCGTCAGTTAAACGTGCGGTCCGCGGGGACGCTGCCGCCCTGGCAGCCAACGCCCCTGGATGCGTCGGTGGTGGGATGGCCCCACGGCCAGCCGCCGTTGGCGGCACCAGCGTCGTTCGGCGAACGGGCGACATCGCCTTTTGTCCCCCCCCGTCGCGCGCTGGCGTCGCCGACCGGAGTTGAGGGGGGGGCAGAAGCAGCGGAAATGGGGGGGGCTGAGTCCACCGGTGAGGACTCTCCCCCTGGGGTCCAGGGGCGGCGTCGCTCGGTTGGGCTGCGTATGCCGCAGAGGGCGCAGCTGGAGCGCCTGCGGGGGAGGGAGCGGCTGGCGGAGACTGCGATCCCAGTCGCCACGCTTCGTCGGCTCTGGCACGCGCAGCGGGCGATGGGGTATGCTGTGGAGATGCTGACGGACTCACACTCCGTTCTACGGAGCTCAGTGAGCCCGTGCAAGATGCCTCGTGATCCACTCCACCGCTGCGCGATGGCTGCAGCTGATCTGGCTGTCGTGTCCACGCGTGTGCAGCCTGCGCCCGCCTCGGGAACCGTGTTGGACCCGCGCCTGCTCGCCGTGATGCGGACAGTATCGGCGAGCGTAGACTCGGCTGCAGCTGTAGACATCGTTGGCGGTGCCGTGTCAGCGCTGACGCTCCTGGGGGACTATGTGAGGGCCCTGCTTGAGGAGGCTGGAGCGGACGAAGCCGCATGATGGGCTGTCGTCGTGTGTAGGTTCTTGTTGGTGAAGTGCGCCCTAGCGTGAGCGCTCTGGTAAGCTCTGTCAGGCTCTCCATGCTTGTTTGCCGAGTGTAGTGTTGGCGGGTTGTAGACCCCGGATGTGTGTATTTGATGTTGTCGTAGTTGACTTTGAAGCCGTGTGTTCTTGCCGCCCCTCAAGCGCGGCCGAAGGCTGCGCCGCGAGCGTCGGCGGCCTCCGGCCGCCGACGCGAGCCGCCGCCAAGGGTGGGAGAAAAAGAAAGAACTGGTAACTAAACTGGAGGAATGAGCTAGGGAGAGAGCTTAAATAGCTAGGGAGGGACTCATGCTCTCTCTCTCTCTCTCTCTCTCTCTCTCTCTCTCTCTCTCTCTCTCTCTCTTTCTCTCTCTCTCTCTCTCTCTCTCTCTCTCTCTCTCTCTCTCTCTCTCTCTCTCTCTATCTATCTATCTATCTCTCTATCGCTATCTCTATCTCTATCTCTATCGCTATTCAGCTCTGCATCACATCACGCCCCCCCTTCCACCCCACCTCCACGTGCTATCAATCAACCTGCCAAACTCTCCACCCCTAAACCCTGCCTCATATTTCTTCCCTCCCCAATCCCGTATTTGGTTCCCTTCCCCTGTGGAAACCCTGACCTGAACCCTATCCCTAACCCTAACCGCAGGCCCATCGGCAGCACAGCTAGCGTGCACGCGGTTCCGCATGCTGTTTGAGGCGCGGGGGTTCTCGCAGGACACCCTCGCCGCCTTCCAGGGGGATGGGGGGGCTGAGCAGCAGCAAGGGGGGGGGCGGGGGAAGGGGGGGCAGGGCAAGGGGAAGAGGATCCGGCCAATTCCGGACTGCCACGTGTCGACTGTCGTCAGTGGACCTGTAAGGAATTGGTTCACACTCACTCTCACTCTATGCACACACACATACGCACACAGGCCCATGCACACACGCACTCAAACTTCCCCTTGCCACCTTGCTCCTCTCTCATCTTCCCCACCGCCCTTCCCCACCTCCCCCTTTCTCCTCCCATCCCATTCATTCTCAGGAAATGGGTTACGTGGTAACCCCACGCATAGCCGTGCAGAGTGCTGTGTTTCTCCTGACCCGGTCGCCGTCCACCCTGCCCACCGGGGGCGTGCTGCCCCCAGCTGCTGCCTTCCATGGGGGCGACAAGCTCTGGCCTGGCCTCGCTGCCCGGGGCCTGCTCTTTGAAACGCTCAGGTCGTCTGGCGTGTGATGCGAGGCGAGGGAGGGTGTGTGCTTGAGAGGAGAGGGGGACGAGAGGAGAAGTGGGAGATGCCTCTAAACACTTTTGAGGCGCTCGGTCAGCTTGGGCTGTTTCTGGTGTATGGGAAGCAGGGAGTAGTGTGCGATGCTTCATGCGTGGCTGTGAATAACATAGCCTGGAGTGGTATGGATGATCGAAGGGTCTGTCTGTATAGAGTGCTGTTTGTCAGAATGAGAACGAAATGATTACTAGAGGTGGAAACCTAGAACAAATACTAGTTGGTTGTACTCACTAGAAGCATACCTCAGTCTAGTCTATAACTTCTACATAGATAATATGTATAAGTTGACACACCCCCTAGGCTAGACAAGGGGTGAAACTAAACAAGAAACAAACAGCTCAGGGCGGCACTACTAGTCCAACCACAGAGGCAGGGGTCTGGAGACCAGTCAGCAAGAATACAACCAAAACTGAAGCAAGCCAGGGTGGCACTACTAGTCCAGCCACTGGAGGTAAGGCCACAAGGCCAGTCTGACAAGCATATATAATAGAGAGTACACAATCAGGATCCTAACAGGGGAGCAGCTACAGGAACAAGACCAAGCTGTACACAGTGCCGCTGATGATCTTTAGGCGCAAGCGCCTTAGTAAAGATATCAGCTGTGTTGGCACCTGAGGCCAAGTGAACTACGCGGGCCTGGCGGCGCTGCTGTAGCTCACGCAGGAGAAAGTACCGCAGCTGGATATGCTTCGCTCTGCCCTCAAGCCGAGGCTCCTGACACAGGAGTATCATGGCCCTGTTGTCAGCGTACAGGACCGGGGCAGAGCTAGGCCGCTCACCTAAGTCTGTGAGCAAGAAGGTCAGCCAGCGGAGCTCCTGTGCCGCCATGGCACCAGCGTAGATCTCAGCCTCACAGCTAGACTGAGCCACAGACGACGAGCGAGTGGATCTCCAAGAGATAGCACCCGAACCAAGGCTGAAACAGTAGCCCTGTGACGACCTGAGCGTCTCAGCGTCGTCTGCCCAAGAAGCGTCTGTGTGCCCAGTAAGGACCACTGGCCTGCGTCCTCCTAGCACTAACCCCATGCCTGATGTACTAGCAAGATAACGCAAAACCCTCTTAGCGGCAGACCAGTGCTGAGGTCGGTGTCTGCCTGTAGCCACAAAGCGAGCCAGGATGCTGAGAGGGTATGCGAGATCTGGGCGCGTGCAAGTCATCAGGTACATGAGGCAACCCACCAGCTCTGCGTAGGGGCCGCTGGGCTCTACTGGCTCCTCAGGAACGGGAGCAGAGAGCCCATGGTCTACGGGTAGAGGTGTGGGCTGTGCGGAGGAGAACTGAAGACCGAACCTCTGAAGGACCTGACGCACCAAGTGTGACTGGGTCAGAGTGATGGTGCGTGCTGCTCTGTCCCTAGAGATCTGCAGGCCAAGATAGCGACGCAGCTCTCCAAGGTCAGTGCAGGTGTGTCTCTTCAGCAGCTCAGCCTTCACAGAGGCCAGTGCGTCCCTGTCAGGGGTAGCGAAGACCAGGTCGTCGACGTAGACAAGGATGTAGAACGGAGTCTGGCCGGAACGCACAAACAGTGAAGGGTCAGCAGAGGACGGAAAGAACTGCAGGTCTGCTAACGTGGCACGTAGCGTGTCGTGCCACTCGCGGGGAGCCTGACGCAGGCCGTAGACCGGGCGCCTGAGAAGCCACTGGGTCCCAGGAGGGAAGGTACCAGTGAAGCCCTGTGGTCGGCGCAGGTAGACCTGCTCGTGTAGGCTGCCCTGAAGAAAGGCAGTAGAGAAGTCGAGGGAGTGAAGCTCGTAGTCACGCTGTGCTGCTACGTGTAGCAGCGCCCGAAGAGTGGTCATCTTCGGGGTCGGGGCGAAGGTCTGGAAGAAGTCAACCCCCTCGCGCTGACTGAAACCTCTGGCCACGTAGCGCGCCTTGAAGACAGGCGGCTCTCCAGGGGGGCGCTTCACCTTGAAGAGCCACCGACCATCGACTACGTTCACCCCAGGCGGGGAACTGCGTCGACGTAAGTGCCGGTGGACCTCCAAAATGCCATCTCCTGCTCCATGGCAGCTATCCACTGAGAGGCCCAAGGTCCCGAGGTGGCCTCAGCGTAGGTGCGAGGGGTCGGGATGTCGAAGGCGTCTGGGTCACCCTCAGGGACTAACAGCATGGAGCAGAGATGGGGAGCAGCCTCGGAAAGGAAAGCCAGCTCGTACTGCCTGTCCTCTAGGACGTCACTGCCAAGGGCAGGAGCACCCCCGACGGACAGAGGACGGGCAGGGTCAGAGACCAGAGCGGTAGCGTAGTCAAGGCGGCGGGTAGAAGCGAAGTCAGCGACAGCGGCGACAAGCGCGTCAAGGCGCGAGACAGGAACAGCAGGGTCGGTAACAAGAGAGGCAAGGACCCGAGGGACAAGGGGACGAGAAGCACGGAGGTAGTCAGAGAACGGAGGAGGTGCAACAGCAAGGGACGAGGGAGGAGGGGACGGGAGGAGGGGAGGACGAGACGAGCGGGAACGGAGCAACATAGGGTGGGTGGGCAGGACAGGAGAGACGGGACGAGCACGGGGGGGACGGCGAGCCCAAACGTGAGACGGAGGGGTAGGGTCAGGGGACAGCGGAGGAGACACAGGAGGGGAACGAGGAGGAAGACGGGCCGGAGACGAGTCCGGCGGCGGGAACACAGGACCGTAGACAGGGAGGTCAGCAGGCGGTGGGGGAGACACCGGCGCGCGGTCCGGTGAGGGAAGGCCGAGCAGGCGGAGAGCGGAGACCGGCGGTGACGGCTGCTGCTGCGGCGACGACGGCTGGGCCGGAACTCTCGGACCAGCAGAGGCAGAACGACCGTCGGCAGAACACTCAACAGCAGCACCCCCAGAACCAACACCCCCAGAGCGAGAACCCCCTCCAACACCAGCGGCACCCCCAGAAGCCGCAGGACGAACACCCTCCTCCACACCAGCACCCCCAGGGGCCAAGAGCGGCGGCGGCAGTGGCGGCAACGACTGCGGCGGCGGCGACAGCGGCGACGGCTGCGGCAGCGACGGCGACGGCGGCGGCAGCGGGGTCGGCGACTGCGACAGTGGGGGCGGAGGCACCGGGGAAGGGGGACGCGGCAAGGACGGATCGGGGGTACCACCAGAGTCAGCAGACTCCTCAACGGGGACAACTGACGGGAGGGGAGTGACGTGGGAGACACCAGACGGGGCAGGACGAGGCGGGAGAGGGGCAGGGGCTACCGGGGGAGAGGGAGCAAGGAACAGGGGGGGGGCAACTGGGAGACCTCGGTGAGGGAAGCGGCGGTAGAAGGAGACGGACTCGTCAAAGGTGACGTCACGAGAGTGGAGGAAGCGGTGAGACGGCGGGTGGTAGAAAAGCCAGTCAGACGAGTCCAGGGGGAAACCGAGGAAGACACAGGGGACAGTGCGGGCAGTGAGCTTGTCCGTGCCAGAGGCACGAACGTGAGCAAGGCAGCCCCAGATGTGGAACGCAGACGCGTCACCGGGGGACCCGGTCCAAAAGAGGGTCGGCGAAACCTGCGGCCGCTGGGAGCGTGGCCACAGGTTAAGCTGGTGAGCAGCGTAGCGAACAGCGAACGGCCACAAAAAATGGGGGGCATCGGCATGGATCATGGAGGTACGGGCGACCTCCATGACCAAGCCGATGCGGCGCTCAGCAACCCCATTCTGCTGTGGCGAGTCCGGCAAGGTGTACGACTGGGTGATGCCCTCCGCACGACAGAACTGTCCAAGCCGACCAGAGGCGAACTCGCCGCCACGGTCGGAGTGGAGACACAACACGGGGAGACCGCGGTGGAGACGCGCAGCCACAACCCACGGGAGAAGAACGTCGGGCACGTCGGCCTTCCGCTCCAGGGGAGACACCGTGGTGTAGCGCGTGTAGTCGTCGACGAGCACAAGGAAGTAGCGCTCACCGCGCGGTCCGGGGACGGGGGCAGGGCCCCAAACGTCCAAGTGCAAGGTCTGAAGGGGGGCAGTAGCAGGACGCAGCGAGGAGGAGTGAGGAGCACGGCGAAGCCGACCCTCGACGCAAGGCGTGCACGGTGGCGCAGTCGAGGGAGGAAGGGCAGGGAGCGACGCAGGGAGACCTAAGACAAGACCGTGCTGGGACATGTGACGCAGACGCGGGAGAGCAGGGTGACCTAAGCGGTGGTGCCAGAGAAGGGAGGGGTGAGCGAGGGACCGACACGAGCAAGCTGCAGCGACCTGGGAGGACGCACCAACCGGGGGGGAAGCGGTGTCTAGGGTAAACAGACCGGACACCGGGTCCCGGGGGAACGTCGCAAGGGGGGAACCTGAGACAGCCTCAGAACAGACAGCGAACCGCTCGTGCCCGGGGAACGTGGTGGTGACGCCGAGGTCCTGGAGACAGCCGACACCAACCAGGTTCCTGGAGAACGAGGGAACGTGGAGGCCAGTAAGGGAGCCTGAGGGAACTGCCGGACAGGGAAGGGACGTAGAACTGCGCGCGACGACTGGACCCGCAGAGGGGTCAGCGAGAGAGACAACAGCAGGTGCAGCAAGCGGCGTGAGCGTGGAACGGTCGCGGAAGAAGCAGGCAGAAGCACCGGAGTCGAGAGTGAAGGACAGCGACGCAGTGGCGGAGGCCGGGGACGGAGCCGGTGCAGCGACTAGACTAGGCAACCTAGGCAGTCCTACGCCTGACGCAGCAGGGGAGGCTAAGCTACACAGTGGTGCAACACCTAAACTAGAGTACACAGGGTAATAAGATCCAGCAAAACTAGAAGTGTCAGAATACAAAGCATGCAAAGCAGCACCTAGCTGATCCATGTCTAACTCAAAGATCGGCACGCCCTGGCGGAGCAGGCTGTGCCAGTCGGGGAGGTCCGGGGCCGGGCCAAAGCGACGACGAAAGAGATCGTCGAGGCGGCGGAAACAGCGGGCGGTCGGGTGCGGGCGGCGACACAGAGTGCCGCGAAGAGGCCCGGTCTGAAGCTGGTACTGGCAGGTGACAGCACCGGAGCCGCCGGTAGACGCCAAGCTGCGCGGGCCGCCACCACGGCCACTACCTCCGGAGGTGCCGGGCCAACCAGGCGGGAGACGGGCCCACTGCTGCGGCGACTGCTGCTGGGACGGTAACTGCTGCTGGGGCGGCGGCTGCGGCTGGGGCTGCTCCTGCTGCGGCTGGGGCTGCTGCTCCTGCCCACCAGTGGTAGTCCCCGCAGGCGGATTACCGTCACCACCACTACTGCCACCACCACCCCTACCCCCCTGGCGACCACGGCCACCGCGGCGCGAGCGCTGCTGCGGGTGGACCGCACCAGCCGACTCGGTGAGAGGGGCCGCCGAGGCGACCGCAGCCGAAACGTCAGTGAACGCACACTGGGAGGGGGCACAACCGTGAAAGATAGAAACTGCCGGCGCACCGTTCGACTGAGCGATAGTGCGCTGGCGAGTCTCGATCTCGGTGAGGGTGTCGACAAAGGCAGTGAGAGTGAGGTCACCTGGGTGCTGGCTAAGAAAGTGATCGCGAGCACTAGCGAGGCGGTCTGGCAGGCGCATGGCGATAAAATAGAGCGTCATGCAGAAAGGGGGGGGGAGCGCAGTGAGCTGGGCAGCAGTGCTGGCAGTGCGATAGCGGGTCTCTAGGGCACGCAGGTGAGTGGCAAAGTCTGCGACGGTAGGGAAAGCTGCAAGGTCTGGGAAAAGCATAGGGAAGAGCAGGCGACCAGCAGAAGCAGACGCGGGTGTGGAATAGCGGGCAATAACAGCGTCTAAGTAAGCTTTGGCCGTCTCAATAGTAGCAAAACGCGAGCGCTCAGAGACAGGGAGGGCGTGGCTAATGGCAACCTGAGCGACTGCATCGCGGGAGTCCCAGACCGCACGGGCAAGCGCAGCAGTAGAGAAGGTCTCACGGTCATCAGAGGAGGGATCAGCAGGGAGGGGAGCAGGTGCGGGGGGACGGGGGAGCAAGCCGTCGACATGGACAACCAAAGAGTGGCCATCCTGGCGCTGACCTGTAAGGTGGCGGCGGAGATCGGATAGCCAGGCGGCGAAGTCAACCGCATGGCCCTCCGCGTCCAGTCGGAGCACGAAGTCCGCCATCGTGCAGGGTCAGCGGCACAGCTCCACAGGAACACAGCGACAGCCCCCTCAAGCACGGCGGCCGCGAAGCGCCTCAGCACGGGCGAGCGGAGGAGACGGAGCCCGAGGCGGCACGGCAGGACGAGCCGGGGCGAAGGGGTCAGGCAGGTGCGGTGGGGCCAGGCAGGTGCTGGCGAGGCCAGGAAGGCACGGCGGGGCCAGGCAGGCGCGGCGGGGCCAGGCAGGCGCGGCGGGGCCTGGCAGGCGCGGCGGGGCCAGGGAGGCGCGGCGGGGCCAGGGAGGCGCGGCGGGGGCCAGGCAGGCGCGGCAGGGCCAGGCAGGTGCGGCGGGGCCAGGCAAACGCGACGGGGCCAGGCAGGCGCGGCGGGGCCAGGCAGGCGCGGCAGGGCCAGGGAGGCGCGGCGGGGCCAGGCAGGCGTGACGGGGCCAGGCAGGGCGCGACGGGGCTAGGCAGGGCGCGACGGGGCCAGGCGGGCGCGACGGAGCCAGGCAGGGCGCGACGGGGCCAAGCGGCGGGGCCAGGCAGGTGCGGCGGGGCCAGGCAGGCGCGACGGGGCCAGGCAGGCGCGACGGGGCCAGGCAGGGCGCGACGGGGCCAGGTAGGCGCGGCGGGGCCAAGCAGGCGCGGCAGGGCCAGGGAGGCGCGGCGGGGCCAGGCAGGCGTGACGGGGCCAGGCAGGGCGCGACGGGGCTAGGCAGGGCGCGACGGGGCCAGGCGGGCGCGACGGAGCCAGGCAGGGCGCGACGGGGCCAAGCGGGCGCGACGGGGCCAGGCAGGGCGCGACGGGGCTAGGCAGGGCGCGACGGGGCCAGGCGGGCGCGACGGGGCCGAGCGGGCGCGACGGGGCCAGGCAGGGCGCGACGGGGCTAGGCAGGGCGCGACGGGGCCAGGCGGGCGCGACGGAGCCAGGCAGGGCGCGACGGGGCCGAGCGGGCGCGACGGGGTCAGGCAGGGCGCGACGGGGCCAGGCAGGGCGCGACGGGGCTAGGGTGGCGCGACGGGGCTAGGGTGGCGCGACGGGGCCCAGGAGGGGCGCGACGGGGCTAGGAGGCGCGACGGGGCCCAGGAGGGGCGCGACGGGGCTAGGGTGGCGCGACGGGGCTAGGGTGGCGCGACGTGGCCCAGGAGGGGGGGGGGGGGGGGGCGACGTGGCTAGGAGGCGCGACGGGGCTAGGAGGCGCGACGTGGCCTAGCTAGGGTCCGGGCGGAAGCGGTAGGTGGGGGATGCTAACCTACGCGTGATACCATGTCAGAATGAGAACGAAATGATGACTAGAGGTGGAAACCTAGAACAAATACTAGTTGGTTGTACTCACTAGAAGCATACCTCAGTCTAGCCTATAACTTCTACATAGATAATATGTATAAGTTGACACTGTTCCATTTCATTTCATGGGTGTAGTTTATGGCAAGGTAAGCGGTGGCAGCGACGCATGGGCAGGGAGACTTGAGGGGGGTTGGTGTAACGCTCATGATCTTTCATGAGAATACCATGTATGCTGGTGTGGTATGCCAGTTGTGTGTGCATGTACCTTCTAAGGGTAAATTTGTACATTCTTGGGGCCATAGGAATGCAGATGACCTGCTAGTACCACTGGGTAGGTTACTATTCATTGGGTAGGTTGCTAAGCTAATATATAGGTGGAGCATGAATGATTAGTATAGCTAGCAACCCCCATGCACTTTGGCTGGACAATACTAGAGAGCTACTACGGTACCATTACCCTAACAGTGTCCATGCAGTCAAGGTGCTTTGTTTCAAAGTCCAACCCAACCCAACCCAACCAGCATGCATTTCACTACAGTCAGGTTGCCAGAACAATCCCTAAAAGCGGGTCTAGCTTATAACGGAGGCAGGGAGGATGAAACCAGAGTTTGGCGGTGGCCCTTATTGCCCTGTAGCAGAAGCAGTAATCAACTGGAGGAACGGGCCTGGGATTAGAGCCTTTGGGAATAGTTCTAGAAGGAAAAGCAGCAGCAGCAGCTGCGCTGCAGTTGCCTTTCAACTACACGTAAGAAGCCTTCTATTGCCCTGCAGCAGCAGCAGTGCCATTGGGCTGGAAGGAGGACGTTGGGCCAAAGGAGCGCGAGAGCACATAGCAGTCGGGGGGCTGGATGCGGCGGTAGTAATTCTTAATGGTGTCCGTTATAGCGAAGCCAAAGTGCTTGTAGAAGGCGATGGCCTCCTCGTTGTTGGTCTGCACGTGCAGATACACCTCCCGCACCCCCGACCCCTCCGCCTCGCACTGACCCAGCACGTGCTGCAGCAGCAATGAGCCTGGCCGCCAGGGAGGGCAACAGGGAGGAAGGTGGGAAGGCAGTGGGACGGAGGGAGGGCAACAGGGGAGGAAGAGGAGAAGGGGGGGGGGGGGATAGGAGGGAAGTTATGAGAGGACCAAGGGAGGAGGGGGGGGGGGGGGGGATGAAAGGGGAAGGATGGAGGGACAGGTGCCTCCTCGTTGTTGGTCTGCACGTGCACGTACACCTCCCGCACCCCCGACCCCTCCGCCTCACACTGGCCCAGCACGTGCTGCAGCAGCAACAAGCCTGGCCGGGGAGAGGGAACGAGGATCCCAGGGGGAGGGAAACAGGGAAGGAGGAATGGCAGGGGCATTAATGGGGGGCAACAGAGGAGGAGGGGGGAGGAGATAAGGAGGGAGGTATTATGGGTGCAGAGCAGACGATGAAACTAGGGAGGAGACGTTGAGGGAGGGGGGAGGATAACGAGGATGGTAGGAGGAACGGGGGTGAGGTGGGGGAAGAAAGGATTGAGGGAGGGAGGGGGGGAGGGAGGTCGAAGCAAGCGCGGCAAAAGAAAGGAGGGCAGAGAATGAGGCTTGTGGACGCCACGTGATGCCAAGCGCGGCAAAACCAATGACAGTGACGCATCCCCCTCCACTCTCAAACCCCGCCCTCTCCCAAGCAAGCCCCCCCCAGCCCCCCCAACGGCCCCCCAGCCCCGTGCTGCCCTGTGCGCGCACCAATGCCGAGGCGTCTGTAGGGCGCGAGCACGCCGAGCGTCATGATGTACACCTTGCTGCCGCCGCCGCTGCCCGCCTCGCGCTCCAGCCGGCACGCCACCGCGCCCACGTGCACGTCGCTGTAGAACGCTGGTGGAGGAGAACAGGGGGGGAGGAGGTTGGGAGGAGGGGGGGAGGAGGTGGGGGGGGGGGGGGGTTGGGGGGGAAGAGGGGAAGAGGTGGGGGGTAGGTGAGGGGGAGATGGACGAATGTGAGGGGGAGACGGCGGATCGAACGGGGGGAGAGGGTTTCGGATCGTGCAGAAAGGAAGGTATGGGACGGGGGGAAGGGCTTTGGGGGAAGAAGAGGGGGTGTCGAAGAGGGGGGGAGGGGAAGGGGGGTTAGATATGAGGAGAAATGTGGGCAAGGAACTGCCACGAACACGCCTGAACGAGACCACGCATGCATTGATCCTAGCCCGGGCTGATCCAAGCCGGCCAAACCTGCCAAGCTCTGCTCTGCGCATTCGCCGACGTGCTATTCTGACTGAGAAGTACCTAGTTTGGTGTATTCGCCGGCAGCCATGGCGTCGCTGTAGTACTTCTCCTGGTACTTGACAGGAAACATCGCCGCGTTCAGCTTTCGCAGCTGCCCCACGTTCTTGTCGCGCACGCCGTCCAGCGACACGTGCGACCCGTCCTTCGCCTTCGCGACTGTAGCCAACGCCGCCGCCATGTCGCCCACAGCACGGCCTCCCTGAAGCGAACAGCACGCCTGCTCCTTGTACCCTCGTAAAACCCCTTCAACGGAAGATCACACCGCTCGGGGCCTATCGAGCAACGAAAGACAGACCCTCACAAGTAAACCCTCCGACAAAAAACCAAGCGGCCGATCAGACCGATCAGCAGGTACCAAGAGTAGTCGTAGAGTAGGGAAGTGCCTCAGCAGCTTCAGCAAACGAATATACCCGCCTACAGTGTCGTAGTCCCACTAGAAAAAAGAGGAAAAAAGGAGCCACTGCCTTTTAGGCGGCTAGCCCGCAAGACGAGCGGTGCAGATCTGCACACGCGGAAGGCGGACCGGGTGAGAGGAACGATCGGTCCGATCTAGACCGGCAATGGCGCCGCGTGCGTCGGCCGCTCGCTGCCAGATAACCTACTGCTGCTGCTGCTGCTGCGGCGGCGGCGGCGGCGGTGGTGGCTGTGGCTGGAAACGGATATCCTCTCAGCTCAGCGCGTGCGCGTTCCGAAACACGTTCATCCCCACTGGGCCTCCTAAAGAATTCGAGGCTGACAGCTCCAAGTAATGCTTGGCGAGCGGAGTTGGACGAGTGAAGTGGACCACCCGTTGTTGAGTCGTCAGGGGGATTGTCGCGCGGAGGGCTCCAGTGGACAGCGGAGAGGAGATTTGGGAGAACGCGGGGTACGGAAAAATAGGCCTCTCCACGTCACGATTTCGTTATGGAATGTGACTGATGGTGTAACATTAGTGAAACCAAGAATGCCGTTATTTAACCATGTAATGAAATAGGAAGTGTCAATGTACTATATTGTGAGAATACAAGGTCGCTATTGCAATGAAGGCACGAGGTTATGTAGGGGTTGGTGTGCTAGGGCGATAACCTCGGAACGTGGGTACGTTCGGCAATGTGGCGACAGTGCCGGACGCGACTCGGGAAAGGGTTGGGCCGATAATTGAGGCCGAACGTGACGAGTCGAAGAGTTCGGGTGTATGCGCAAGCGTACGACTCAGTAAAGAATGGAAATTCCTTACACTACCCCCCCCTCCTAAACGAGACCGCGGGCATCGGAAACATTCCGACGCTGATAATACGCTGTTAGAATCGGGTGTGATTCTAGCTTAGCGAGCTGCACCCAGCTGACATCTTTTGACGTGCGATCGCGCCAGCGGACGAGAAAATCAACCATCCGACGCTTCAGCTGTGTCGTGACTCGATGGCCGAGAATTTTCAAGGGCTCGGTTGTCGGTTCCTGCCGAGGCGTCAGCTGCGGTACAGCGCGTTGGCGTGCCAAGTCCGACGAACTTATGACGTAAGGCCGTAAGAGGCTGACGTGGAAAGCCAGGTGGTGACGCCAATCAACCGGGAGTCGGAGGTGAGCAGTAACACGTGTCACCATATTTATCACGTGGAACGGCCCACAGAATCTGGGTCGGAGCTTGCTCGGGATCGGCAGCCGCAAATTGCAGGTGTCGAGGAGGACAAGATCTCCCACGTTGTAAGTGACGTCACGTCGATGGCGATCGGCTTGTCGGCTTGCGACCAGGTTGGCTTTCCTGATTGCCTCAGCTGCTTTTCGCGGGCGGCGAGAATGTCTTCAGCAAATTTCTGGGACCGGGGCACGGGTGTCTCGATGTTCGGGGTAGAGGGTACCACTGGGTCCTGCCCGTAGTTGAGGAAAAATGGGGACTGATGGGTTGTGGCGGAGGGCGCGTTGTTATACGCGAATTCCAGCAGCGGAAGGGTTTTCTCCCATGTCTGTGGGTCAGTACAGGTATTTCGAATGAGTTGCTCCATAGTTTGGTTGACTCGTTCGTTCTGCCCGTCGGTCTGTGGGTGGTAGGCGGAGGAAAACTGCAGTTTGGTGCCGAATTGGTCCCACGGGTGGCGCCAGAAATTCGATGTGAATTTCGGGTCTCGATGTAAAATAATTGCGGTGGGCAGTCCGTGCAGTCGAATGACGTTGGCGATGAATAGTTGGGCAGTTTGCTCGGCTGTAATTGTCTATTGGCAGGCGATGAAGTGCGCCATTTTCGTGAGTCGGTCAACGGCCACGAGGATGGCGTCGTTTCCGCTGGGACCGGCTGGCAGTCCTGTCATGTAGTCCATCGTGATTTGTTGCCAGGGTCGCTCAGGCGGATCCAACGGTTGTAGTAGCCCGGCTGCTCGCTGATGAGAGGATTTCATGATCTGGCAGGTGGTGCAGGAGGACACGTACTTGCGCACATCGTCGGCCATGTTCGGCCAATAATAGTTGCGCTGCAACGTCTTCGTAGTTTTGTCGACTCCGAAATGCCCGGAGGTAGGGTTGTCGTGGGATTCCTGTATTAAAAGGGTACGAAGTAAATCGTAGCCGGGCACCCAGATGCGGGAAGTATCGCGCTTATTAAATTAGTGTCCGGTGGCGGTGGTATGCTGTTGATGAATAGCAGAGCGGAAGGAAGGGTCGATCTTGTAGCCGTGGGTAAATAGTCTAGTAAGTAGTGGGCTGGTCTGGGCGACTAGTATGGCGGCGGTATGGGCAGTGGGTCGAGTCAGGGCATCGGCAATATTGTTGGCGCCCCGTTTGTAGGTGATGGTGTAATGGAAATTCGACTCGAGGAATTCGAGCCATCGGATCTGTCGTGGGTTGAGATTCGGTTGGGCGCGCAGGTACTGTAAGGATTTGTGGTCGGTTCGCATCGTGACGTCAGCGCCTGTTAGATAGCACCGCCAAGTCTTGAACGTGTGGACGATCGCCAATATTTCCTTGTCGTGGATTGTGTAGTTTTTTTCCGCGCCCTGCAGCTTCCGGGATTCGTAGGCGATCGGCTGTAATCCGTCGTCGAAATCCGGTAGAAGAACTGCTCTGATGGCGATGTCGCTGGCGTCCGTGATGACTTGGTATGGACGGTCAGGATCGGAGATGCGAAGAACGGGCAGCGACGTGAGGGCGATCTTCAGTTGGTCGAATGCAGCTTGCTGCTTGTCTCCCCACCAAAAACAATCGTGATCCTTAAGTCGGTCAGTTAGCGAGGCAGATAACCCAGCCATCTCGTAAGTGCTGCTCCCTGCTGCGGCTGTAGATTAGTATGTCCCTAAACCCTGCCGCAAAGTTGGTCGAGTAGTTTGTCAGCTCGCGGGACCGGGTAACGCGACTTGATTGTGATCATGTTGAGCGAGCAGTAGTCGATGCACATGCGGAATCCTCCATCTTTTTTTGGTCTGAACAGTATCGGGGCGGCGTATGGGGACGTGCTGGCCGGATAAATCCCTTCGTCAAATGGTAATCCAGCTGCTGTTGCAATTCTTCCTGTTCGGGTTGGCTGAGCCGAAATTTTCGCTGTACTGTCGGTTGGGTGCCTGGTTCCAGCTCGATTCGATGATCTTCTAGTCTGCTCGGCGAAAGTCCCGCGGGCAGGTCATCCGGGAAAATCTCGGGGTATTTTCGAATCAGGTACGCTAAATCCGGGGGAACGGCTTCGCATAACTTCGCGATATATTCTGCTGTTGTCGGCGACGTCACCTCGCGAAGATCAACGGCGTACGCTGCAGCTCCCGCTTTTATCGCGCATTTGAAAGTTATCACATGGGCTTGGGTACTTCGCATGCGAGGTCCCGTCCATTTCGGTAGTTCGCGGGGGATCCCATCGAGTTTTATGCTGCAGCCGCCCGTCGTCCAGTCGATCTTTGGGTTGTACTGTCGCAGCCAATCCCGTCCCAGCAGCACGTCGCAACCGTCGAGTGTAGTCGCCAGCAGCCCCAGCCAAAATTTTACGTGCTCCCCGCAATGAAAACTGATGTTCTCCACTCGCTCCCGTATAGCCAGCGGTGTTCCATCCCCTAGGCGGGCGTCGATTTCGGGTTGACACTTGAGCAAGGGAATACCCAGTTTTTTAGCCCTGTCCAGCTGTATAAGACTGTAACTCGCGCCTCCATCCACGAATATTTTCAGCAATACCCCGTTGACTTTACCCTCCACCAACACAGGGTGATCAGCAGTTTCGTCCCCCTTATTCGTCCGGGTTTGGTCGATTGCAGCAATCGGGATCACGACCCGGTGGGGACTGTGTGGCTCGAGCGAAGAAGCCTGCCCGTCAGTAAGGGGCCCGGTACTTACTGACGCGACCCATTTCCCGGTCGCTCCTTCGGCTTCTTCCCCATAGAATTCTGGATGGCTATGAACTCTTGGCAGTTGCGTCGGATGTGACCCGGTCGGCCACAGTGGTAGCATCGCCCCGTATTTCGCGGAGCAATCGCGTAAATATCCACTGCGTCCATCCCTTTTATCGTGGCGCGCTGGTACTGTTCTCGAGGGCGACCTCCGTCGTAGAAGTTCGTCCTTGGCTTCGTGAGCGAATCAGCGGCTTCGGCGAGCTGGATAAAGTCTTAACCGCTTCGCAGGGCGTTGTAGTTTTATCTGGTACTGTATTTCAGGCTTCAGCACGCCCATGTACCCGTCGGCTTTCTCCAACTCGTGCATGTAGCCACATCGGTCCACCAATGTCAAGAATGACGCGGTGTACTCGGACACATATCCCAGCTGCTTCCACATGCGTAGAGTCTCGCATGCTTTGTCTGAGTCGGGTGCATGCTCAAACCGCTTGCAAAGCTCAGCGCACGACGTTGCCCACGTGGGTTGCACCAAACAGCAAATCTGCCTCGTCTTCGTCGCCGAATTCTTCGGACCACTCGTGCTGTCCTTCTGTGCGAGTTGCCGCTGAGTCGACGATGACCTTCCACCACTGTAGGGCGGCCCCTTGCAGTAGTGTTAACGTGTTGCTGATCCGCTTATGATCGTCTCGGATGCCCGCCGCGTTAAAGTAGATATTCATGGCGAGTATCCACTGCCGCACCATCACGTCTTTATTAGCTGGGTCGAAAGGAGCAGGTTGCTGATATCTCATGCCCCCACTTGTCGAGCGCAAGGCTGTTGCCGCTAGTCCTGCCAGCTCCACTGGCGACAGTTGCTGCTCACCTGCCTCGCTTCGTGTTTCCTGCGCCTGGCGAAGTCGTTGGTTCTCGTCGCGGAGGTTGTTGACGACGCTTGTCAAATTATTCAACTCCTCCATTAATGCTTGCAGGTCCACTGTTTCCCGGGCAGAGTTCGCAGTAGTCGAGGTCGTCTGTTCCTCAACCGTCGAGTCTACCGGGGCCATGGCGGTCAGGACGGGGCAGAAACTAGCGCACACGCTGTATTTGTTGACGTAAAAATATTTACGATCGAAGGCAACTGCTGTGCTGCCGTGTTAATCCCCTCTGACCACCCTTAAACGGGAAAACGGAAGGTTCCTGGAAAGTTCGGGCTCTTATACCAGCTGCTATGAAATAGGAAGTGTCAATGTACTATATCGTGAGAATACAAGGTCGCTATTGCAATGAAGGCACGAGGTTATATAGGGGTTGGCGTGCTAGGGCGATAACTTCGGAACATGGGTAGGTTCGGCAATGTGGCGACAGTGCCGGACGCGACTCGGGAAAGGGTTGGGCCGATAATTGAGGCCGAACGTGACGAGTCAAAGAGTTCGGGTGTACGCGCTAGCGTACGACTCAGTAAGGAATGGAAATTCCTTACAATGTATTAGCATATATTCAAATCAAAGTAGTCACTTAGTATGTATATTTATACAAGCACATTATATCATGGATGTAAGAACCTAGACTCGTCAGATCCATCCGAGTCGAAGTACCAATTTCCAATGGCCTTTCTCACTGTGACACCATTCACTCTGATCTTCGACCAAGACGAGTACACCGTGCTGCAATGAGCCACAGTATCCAACAAATACGCAGCAACCCTCCTCTCCTTCTTCACAAGCGCCTTGACCTCATTGTACATAACTCCAGCCACGGTCAGCACTGCCTTCTGCTCATCTTCCGAGCATGGACTGTTCTCCTTGTAAGTCATGTTGGACCAGGAGTTGTTCCGGATGGACTCGGTGAGGGATGGCATGTCGACCGTGAGGTCGTGCAGGCACCGTGCGATGCTGGACGTCTTGTTGGGCAGCTGGTTGCCGATGCTGAGAGCAGCGTAGTCAAAGAGGGGGTTCACGACGAAGATAGTGGAGGCGACGTAGCCCAGTGAATACTGCGGGAAGAAACACCGCCACTTCTCCTCGTCCTCGTGGGCTGCAGGGGGGGTTGGACGAAGAGCAAGTGGGACAAGGACGAAGGGGTCGCGGGTGAAGCAGCAGAGACGATGTGGGCTAGCGCATGGTTACTGCTTTCATAAAAACTTTTTGTAAAAAACAACAAACAAGAGATCAGCAGGTGGAACATAGCGTTCGAGCAGCCTCTGTCCGAACCTTCCACCACGCTGTACTACGCGAATGCTTAACTGAAACACGCCAAAACCGTTATTTCAATCACTGTACAGTTCAGACCGTTCGAATTTCCAGATGTTTCACGCCCTAAGAAAAATCTCCCTTCAAGCGCAGGGAAAGAGCAAGTGACGAGTACGGGAAGAGCAATGGAAGGCAAATGCAGTGGAGAGGAGGGAGGGTACCTCTACCGCAGCGGGCGTTGCCAGTTGCCTGGTGTAGCGACGCGATCCTCTGCACCAACGAGCGGAACCGAAGCTTGTCATTCCGGTCCCTGGCGTCTGATTGGACACGCAGCAACCCCCGCACATGCATATGCGTGAATTAACATATGCATGACAAAGGGCGGGCCATTGGTTTCTCCGAGCGGCACTAAAAAACACAACGCCATGGAACCACTAGTCTGGCACTGGAGTGACAAAGGTTGCACTGGTTTCTCAATGGAAGGTTGTGCATTGTACTAGGAGTCAAGGAAGCGGTGGATGGGAGGTGCGTACCGAGAAAGAAGCCGCCGTCCATGAGGCACTTGACGGTGGCGGAGGGCAGCAGGGTCTCCACTTGATCGCACAGCATCACCACCGCCTGGCCCCCCGCCGAGCACCCTGACAGCAGCACCTGCGTTGCGGACTTGAGGCCCCTCTGGTCCATCAGGTCTGCGTCAGGTGGTTGTTCAGGTGGGATAGGAAACGTGGGAGGTCGTGAGAGACATTGATGACATAAGTGAGAGTGAAGTAATATTGATTCTGCTTGCTTTTGTGCATGTGTGTGTGTGTGTGTGTGTGTGTGTGTGTGTGTGTGTGTGTGTGTGTGTGTGCGTGTGTGCGTGTGTGCGTGTGTGCGTGTGTGCGTGCGTGTGTGCGTGCGAGTGTGAGAGGTAAAGGCAAAGCAAGAGGGAGGTAAGCGAGAAAGAGGGAGAGCGAGAGAGGGGGAGGCGGCACCTGAGAGGACGGCCTTCATGATGCGCCAGCCGTCCATGTAGATGCTCGTGCTCTCGTTCACCTGCCGCCACCCCGCGCGCCCCGCGTACCCGCCGCCGTCGCAGTACAGCGGCACCACCAGGTTCCAGTCGTGGAAGTTGGGGTTGCGCCGCCGCGTCGGGCTCAGGATGCCCTTGAACAGCACTGCCAGCCGCCGCGCGCTCTGCGGGGAAGGGGGAAGGGGGGTGGGGAGGGGGGGAGGGGAAGCAGGCGGGATGGGAGGGGGTGTGAGGATGGGGTATGGGGAAACGGAGGGAGGGAGAAGAATGGATGGGAGAGAGGAAGAGCGACAGAGGGAGGGAGTGCGAGAGAGAGAAAGTTGGGGATCGTAGGAAGTAGAGGGGGAGGTGAGGAGGAGGGGATATGAAAGAGACAACAAGAGGGGTCGCGATGGTGGGGGGAGGAGGGGAGGAGGGGAGGGGGAGTGTAGGGGAGGAGGGGAGGTTTAGCAAAACCGTTGTAGTATGGGGGACATCACGAGAGAACGAGGGGAAGCGGAGGGAACGGTGACCCACCCTTAGTGGAAAGCCCCGCAAGAATTTCGAGTGACTGGTGAGGAGGACTCCTGGGATAAGGCAGGGATGCAAGCACAGTGCGGACAGTGCGGAGGCAAGCACGGTGCGGACCTTGCGGCGGGGCGTCCAGGGCCGCGTGGACCCCATGGCGGTGCTGGCGCGCGCAGCGCAGTCGTCCGCGCTGGCGCACCACCCCCCGCCCGGCAGGAATATGTGCCACGCCTGCTTTCCCGCGCCGCTGCCGCGGCGGAAAAAATACCCGGGCGGACTGGTTCGGGGGAGCGATGGGGGGAGGGAGGGGGAAAGCGGGAGTGGGGAAGGTTGTGATTGAGGAAGGGATAAGTGGACTCTGTAGGACTGGTTCGAAACCGAGTAGAACAGTTAGCGAGCAGCAGATGGAGAACAGTCAACTAGCTGATCGAGCAGCACGGGGAGGAAGGGAAGAAGCAAGCGGAGAGACTTTTGAGTCGACTCAAAAGGAGAAATACAAGCTCGCGGGGGAGAAGCACGGGGGATCGGTTGGGTGGTTCGCATGCGCGGCTCGCACGCACGCCTCAAAACCCAAGCCTTACCTGCGGGGAGGCACGTGGCGCCCTAGGGGTTGTCGGCTACTGAGAGGCGCCTCAACACCGGACTCTCTCGACTCTCTTGACTATCTCGACTCTCTCGACTCTCTCACCTGCCGTCGAGGCACTTGGCGCCATAGGGGTTGTCGGCCAGCACGTGGAGCGTGAGGTTCTTGCCCTCGGGCATGCTCCACTCGCGCACCGTGTCGTCCGCCGCACACGGCGCTGCCGCCAGCCCCAGCACGCTCAGCAGCCCGCCCACGAGGAAAAAGCTCCACACGACACATGGCATCGTGGCGGTACCGTGCCGCCCCAGACGCGCTCTTCGCTCCCTACTAGTAGTAGTAGTCGTCCTTTGTGCCTCATCCTCTCGATCCTCTCGATCCTCTCGATCCGCCCGATCCGCCCGATCCGTTCGATGCGCTCCAGGCGATCTACTCGCATCCTCTCCAGCGCCAGGGCTATTACCAGTGCTGATCCTGTTACTAGTGGTAGTACCACTAGTACTACTAGTACTACGAGCACTGGCTAGCGCCGTCATGTGCGGTTGTGGTACGGCTAGTGTTAGTCCGTGCGGAGTAGCTGCGGGCGACCGTGTGAGTTCTCCCGCGCCGAGCGAGGCCGCCCCATGATGAAAACAGCCGTTGTGGGGGCGGCGATGGCGGCAGAGAGAGGGATTGCTTCCGCCAAGAGACATCACGGTGGATTCAACTTCAACTTGAAGCGGACTGGCCCATTCGCAGGATTCGACTTGACTTCTCAAAAGCCCATCCGCAAGATGCGCACGCAGCAAGGACCACAGGGGGAAAGGAGCGCAGACGAGCAGAGCCTACTTCTGAGTCGACTCGAGTGCGGAGGCTACTATTTTCGTCTCGGAGGGAGTTGAGGAGATCAGGTCAATTGACGCGACAACCGGAGGAGTCTCAATACGTAGTAGTACGAGCCTTGGGATGTGTTGGTGCTACTATGATGCATGCATCAGCACAGGGCATCAACGCGGGTTAGTCTACGGGTCTGGCAGCGCGGGCTGACGTAGCGCTGACGAATGATTAATCGCCTTCACTCGACCGTGAAATTCTCTCGTTCTGAAAAGGGTATCGGTTCTAGCGAGGCGAGAGGTGGAAAAGGGGAGGGAGGGACGAGAGTCTCCTCCTGAGAAGGTGAGCCGACAGTGAGCGGAGCCTCGACGATGTTGAATGTGAAGAGGCGAACTGGAGACGAGAGCAGACGAGAGCGGACGAGATCAAGGGTACCGGCAACTGCGGTAGTATCTCTCGGATTGGAGTAAGTGCCTTGGAGAGGGGAGCGACGGGGTTTCTGCGATTAGGCGTGCGGTAACTTGCGCAGTCGTCGCGGGAAGTACAGCTGTGGCGCAGTGAAATTGTGGCGGATGGAGACGAAAGACCGAAGGAAGTTTTGCAAGACCAGGAGCAAGAGCTGCTGTGTTGCTACTGCTGTTGCTCGTTGGATGATGCCGAGGAGAAGGTAAGCTGGTCGGCAGCAGCAAGCAATTCGGTAGGTGCTTCTTTTGTGGGTGAGAGATGGCTGTGGTGTATGGATGGAGGTTAGGCGAAATTCAATTTTCGAGCCGCGAAACACAAATTTGGCGCGAAAGATGCACACCGTACATCCCCATCTACGGGGCAAACAGAATTCTCCCTCGCGACGGAACGGAATCCAAACGGGTTACAGGACCAAGCCATTTCACAAGCAGGCCTCCTGCTAACAGGGTAATAACCCTTAAAGTCGAAATATTAAGAGTAAATTTTTCAGTAATTCCTTTTTTTACGGTGCAATGTTTTTCCGAATTCGTCCAGCCCCGGAAACAATTTCGCGCGACTCCTTAGCCTGACGCCTAACTTTTTTTTGAGTCCGCATGGGCTATCTGTAGTAGGGGGTAGCGATTCCCCACTCCCCCCCCACCCTTGATTCCTTGCTAGCCGAAATTGTAGCGGCCGATTGCTTTCGGTAACGGTTTTTGAGGGAGAATTCCGTCTTTTAGCGGGTAATCCAGGGGAGATTCCGTCCCCTTCCGGAATACCTCGGGGCTTAGCGAGAGGCCTGTTCACAAGGGCGTGGATCATGAGTTGCGCAACCCAAGAAAAACCACAACGGGAATTGCGCAGCTGGCGAGAAACCCCAGCGTAGACCAATTTAGCCCAACCCAAACCAATGCAAATTTCGACGAGCTCGGTAGCCAGGCTAGGCTGCGGAACTTCGGTGGGTTGCGCATGATCCATGGCCTGAGCCACGAAGTCTAAAGACATGAGGCTAGCTTCTCTACAGTCTCACATATATACCTCTCACAAATTGGCGTACACTCCATGCCTCTCGCATGAAGTCGTCAATCTACACATGTATCAACGGAATTTCATTCTTTAAAAATAAATATTTTTCCACTTTATACAGAGCACCTCCCTTGCCTAATTTTGGCTGGGTCCGGTAAGCAAATCCTTGTACCCCTTGTGAGCCTATCAAGGCAATCGTAACCATTGATTCTTTTATAGCAGTTCTTAATGCCCTTGAAGAACCTGAACTGAATGGCACCGCATCTGTCGTTATCGGTTGCCAGGTACACCTCAGAGCGTGGACAAGAGCCCATTGTCATGGCCATACCGACGTCAACACATATCTGCAACAGGGAGAGAATACGAAACTCAACCAGGCAAAAAGGAAGCAAAAGAAGGGACAAGGAAGGGAGAGAAGCCTGAGTGGTGGAACGGTAAAAAAGCAAAAGCATGAAAGGTGTGCCACAGGTGCTCACACATTTACCTGCCACACCTCACACCCCCGCCCACCGTACCTCCGACCCTGGGAATCCCGAGTCCTTGGAGGGCGGCAACAACTGATCGCAGTAGATCCCGGGGTTCATGCGGTACAGCTCAGCCGGGTTCAGGGGGGGCTTCAGCCCTGCGAGCAGCGACGCACACGTAGCGTTCTCCGCGCTCTCTACAACCACCGTCCGCCCGCACACGGGCACATTCGCAGTGCCGCGCTCCACACACACGGAGAGGCCCGCTGGGAGGTCCTTGCCCGAGGGGTCAGCGTCGCAGTCGAGGCCCGGGTTGAGGAGGAGCAGGGCGGCGGCGCAGGGCTGGTCAGGGTCCGGGCAGGACGAGGCCGAGGTGAGGTTGAAGGCAGTGGCGATGGATTCACACGTCTCGCTCTGGTGGGGTTGGACGAGGGCGGAGGGAGGAGGGGAGGACAGGGGAGGAAGGGAGGCGGGGAGAGGAGGGGTAGAAGGGAGTGAAGAAGGGTTTTGGGGAGTGAGCGGAGTTTGAGGCACAAAAGCAAGTGAGTGAATGGCAGGACCGCGGGGGAGGGGTGAGGCAGGGGGGAGGGAAGGTAGCAAGGTGAGGAGGAGGGGAGGTAGCAGAGAAGGCTAGACGGAGGGGGGGAGAGCCAGAGAAGAGGTGTGGGGGGAGTGGGGGGAGTGGGAGGAGTGGGAGGAGTGGGAGGTGTGGGAGGTGTGGGAGGTGTGGGAGGTGACCTGGCGAGTGGTGTAGAAGACGGAGCAGGGCCTGGCGTCCGGGTTGCTGGGCTTCACGTTGACCATTGTGCCCTCAGGCAAGGGGGCGTCGCATGACAGGTTCTGATGAAGGGGGGGGGCAGTGGTGGACAGGTGGGGGTATCAGGACGAGAGGAGGGCAGGTAGGGGAGACGAACATATCAGCCAGTCACACACGTGGGAACATGAGATCGTTTCTTCACCCTACTCTCTCCCACTTCCACCATCCAAGGTGCCTCAAAACGGGCAGTTGGCTACGCTTGGTCATCACTCAAGCAGTGGGAAGAACCCAGCGGGAAAGTAAAGAAGGCGTGCAAGATCACTCACTCACCTCCCATCCCTCCATGTCCCATTCACCTCCCCACCACAATCCTTCACCTCTCCCCCACTCCCTCGCCTCCCTCACTCCCTCACTCCCTCACTCCCTCACTCCCTCACCTCCCCCACTCAATTCCCCACCTCAACCCCCTCGCTCCCCGCACCTCGTTCTGCGCCAGGAATTCGTCGAGCGTGAGGCCGAAGAGGGGGTGTATGTGGTAGCACTGCACGCCAACCCCCGGCACCACCAGATAGTTCTCACTCGGGCCTGGGGGGACGGAGAGAGGGGCGGGTGGGAAGGGTGGGTGAGGGGTGGTTGAGAGGGGTGGGTGAGAGAGCGGGGGAGGCGGAGGGGTAAGAGGGGTAGGCGAGAGGCGTGGGAAGGGGTTCAGATGGAGGAGGAGAAAAGAAGCATGTGAGGCAATAGGAGAGGGACCAAAGCAATGTGAAGGTCTAGAGGATGGGAGATCAGAAAAAGGCGGGAAGAGCTGGCATGCGCCACGTGGTACTATGTGCGCCTTTGTGGTGGAGATAAGCAAGGACTCCATGGGAGAGAGGGGGGAGAGAGAAGCGAAGAGGAGGGGAGAGGAGGGTAGAGGAGGGGTGAGACGAGGAGGGATGGGAGAGAGGGGGAAGGTGGAGGAGGAAGGGGAAAGGGAACTGATGTAAGAACAAAGGGAGGATGACATCAGGAGTGGATGCATGGCGTTAAGAGCGGAAGCAGCACGAGGAAGAAGTGAAAGCAAGCAGCAAGCAGACATGGGCACATGGGCCGTGGACGCAGTGCAAGCATGAGCACATGGCACACAGCGGCAGCACACCGCACACAGTGGCAGCGCATGGCAGCACATGGCAGCGCATGGCAGCACATGGCAGCGCATGGCAGAACATGGCAGCACGGACCGGGGGCACAGGAGGGGGCGCCAAATGTGGATTTGCCGAGGTAGAAATCAGGCGGGCAGATGCAGGTGTAGTAGCCATAGCCGTCGTTCACACAGTTGCCCACACCGCATGGGTTCTTGTCACCCGCCCCACACACGTCTGCATGCACCCAACGCAGGCAAAGGGATAGCAGGGGGGATGTTGAGCCTGCTTTTGAGTCCACTCAAAACCAGTTGCCCACGCCACGCCACACGGGTTCGTGTCGCCCGCCCCACACACATCTGCACACAGCACGGGAGGTGTAAGAGTGTTGTTCAGGTTGCCGCTCAGGTTGCCGCTCAGCCAGCACGGCCAGAAGCACAGCAAGGGGGATGCTGCGGCTTTGCCCCCTCTAGGTGTTCCTACAGGGCGCAGTGGGGGGGAGGTTGGGTCCTTCTGCTTGGTCTCTTTTCTGTGAAGCAAATAGGGCAGCAGAAGGAAGGGGGAGAGCGGAGAAGAAAGGAGAGAGGGCAGAAGGAACGGTGTGGGATGAAGAAAGAGTGTGGGAGGAAGGGAAGGAAGTGAGGGTAAGAGAAGGGATTGAGGGGAAGACAACGGAGTGAGAGGAAGAGCAGGGAGTGAGAGGAAGAGAAGGAAAGTGAGAGGAAGAAAGAGTGTAGGAGGGAGGTAGAATCGAGAGTGACACTTGGCATGGCAGCACTCAGAAAAAAAAGAGGGGAAAAAAAAAGGAAAAAGACGAAAAAAGGTGCTTTCAAGCACAACAACAGCAACAACCCCTATGCTCACCATTCTCTGCTCCCCTCTGAACTCACCAATAACACAGCCACCAGTTTCCCCCTCTCCTCCATCGTCCGCTGATGGCGCAAAGGCCTTCACACCCGCACCATCAGCGCCACCATCCCCAGCAGGAACAACACCGTCACCAGCAGCACTGGCAAACACCGGGGGCGGATTGGGGCAGGAGGAGGACACGCCGGAGCGGCAGAATGCGCTGGACGGGGAGAGCTTTGAGACGCCAAAGCAGGGGTCTGATGGGCCTGGTGGGGGGGCGGGATCCAGAGAGAGGAGAGAGAGAGGAGCAGAACAAACATACAGAGCAGAAGGGTTACGAAAGCGAAGAGGAAAGCCGGCCTGATTAGGCAGAGGGGCCGGCTTTGGTTTTAGAGTGATGATTGCGTTTTGAACAGGCACACACAGACAAACAGGCAGGCACAGACACCCAGACACACACAAAAAGGCACACTCACGCACGCACACACACAAACAGGCACACATGGACACACGGACACATGCACACATTCAAAGATGCCTGCACGCACCTGTCTGCAGCTCCCACCAGAGCACACGGTGTTCCTGGGGCACCAGGGAGGCCGAGGCGGAGGAGGAGGAGGCGGAGAAGGAGAGGAACACCGACGACTGTGATGGTGAGGGCTGGAGCACGGAGCACAGCGACAGAGGCACATCCAGTAGTGCTCTATCGGGTCGCACCCTCCTCGCTGCTAGATACACACGCAGCCTCCCCGCTCCCGCTCCTCCTCCTCCCCCCTCCCCGCTGCTGCTTTTGCTGCTGGTGCTGCTGCTGCTTTTGCTGCCAGCAGGAGCATCGGGTTCAAACGTGATCCACACAAACCACCGATCGCCACTATTCAGCATGCCTTCCACCAAGGCCGTGGCAAGCGACCGGGCGCTGCCCCCCACATTCACCCCCACATGGTTGCCATCCGGGTCACCATTCCTAGCATCCATCCGCGTGTCAAATTCTACTGCCACGCTGCGCCTCCCCATGCCCCGGTACCCCATGCCCGCGCCCCCTTTGGGCTCCGTTGCGCTTATCACAAAGGCCAGCCCGTCCCCACTTCCCTCCCTTGCTGCTGCTGCTGCTGCTGCTGCTGCCTGCCTCCCCAGCGAGCTTGCAGTTGCTTTGGCTGTGTCTTGGGAGGTTGATAAAGAGGAGGAGAGAGCGGACGAGGAGAAAGAGGAGGTGGAAGAGGAGGAGGAGGAGGAGGAGGAGGAGGAGGAGGAGGAGGAGGAGGAGGAGGAGGAGGAGGAGGAGGAGGAGGAGGAGGAGGAGGAGGAGGAGGAGGAGGAGGAGGAGGAGGAGGAGGAGGAGGAGGAGTAGGAGGAGGAGGAGGAGGAGGATGTCCTGGGAAGCTTGGTGAGCGGGGGCGACATGGTGAAAGCAAAGGAGAAGTTGAAGGCGAGCGGGCGGCCGCAGGGGTCTTGCAGGGAGGAGAAGGTGAAGAGGGTGATGAGAGGGAGGAGGGTCACGGTGCCCCACGCACCGCGCACAGCAGGACTCACCACGAGCTCGTCCAGGGAGCTGGCAGGCGGCGGTGGCACATAAAAGGGCGGGTCCGGATCCGCACTCGGAGCGGGGGTTGGACTCGGAGCGGGATTCGGGCTCGGAGCGGGATCTGGATTCAGAGTGAGATAGGGCTTTATTGTTGTGGTTGTGGTTGCGGCTGTGCCTCGAGGCGTGTCTTGGCGCGTGTCCTCAGGACTGCCTTGAGGCAGCACTGCAGCAGACTGCTCCTCCTGCACAGCTGTAGAAGCAGCAGCATCAGCAGCAGCAGCCGCCACCGCGACCGCAGAGGTGCCAGACTTCGGAGCCGAGAGGAACGCCGAGCCCTTGAAGCGCAGGGAAGGGGAATCCGCAAGAGACAGCGAGAAGGAGTCCGTCAGCGCCTCAGGCACACACGACCCCGGTGCCACCCGGTTCACATACCCCTCCTCGCACTCGCACGTGGGCCGGCCGCCCCGCCCCGGGCGGCACGTTCCTACGCCGGAGCATGGTGGCTCGGAGGGGGAGAGCCCGCAGAAGGCCGCACACGCGGAGAGGGAGCGCTGGGGGTGGCGGGCGGTGGGGGAGCAGCGGAAAGCAGCGGAGGAGGAGGAGGGGGGGGGGAAGGAGAGGCAGTTGGAGCGGAGGGAGAGGGTGGCGGGGCAGGAGGAGAGGTAAGCGTCGCCCAGCAGGTAGTTGTTCTCGAGGAGGAGAGCGGTGAGGGAGCGCGGCCAGTCTTGGGGGAGGAAGCCGGAGAGCTGGTTGCTGCGCAGGTTGCTAGGGGGGGGAGGGAGGAGAAATGGAAGAGAGGCAGGAGGAGGGAGGAGGGAGGAGGGAGGAGGGAGGAGGGAGGAGGGAGGAGGGAGTGAGGTGAGGGATGCAACGCTGGTTGTGAATCGAGCGGGAGGGAGCATGATGAGTGTACATGTCTGTCGATTCGAAAGGGAGAACGATGAGAGTAAATGTCAGAACCAGACGGGCAAGGACGTGGGGGAGAGGAGGGACAGGGAGCAAGAAAAAAGGACAGGAGTGGTGGGAGCCCTTCTTGGCACCAAAGCGTGTTCAAACACCCTTTCACTGCACTGCACTGCGCTGCACGTGCAGCATAACCTCTTCGCCCTCTTCTTGTGCCTCCCAAACCCCCCGTCCCCTGGGGGGGAGGGCTGGCAGGACGGCTGGGAGGAGGACTCACATCCGCTGCAGGTAGGGAAAATTGGCAAAGTCGAGGGGAATGGCGCCGTACAGCCTGTTGCTGCTCAGGTCCCTGCTCGTGCATGCATGCATGCACGCGCACATGCAGGGGGGGATGGACGGGGATGGATGGGGATGGATGGGGATGCATGAGAATCAAGCACTGCGTTTTGAGTCGACTCAACCACAACCTCAAGCAAGCAAGCAAGCAAGAAAGCAGGCAAGTAGCACGCGCCCTTGCACTTTCTTGTTCCGCGATGAAGGGCGGCTCTTGCGCGAGCGAGACAGTGGTGTGGCTTGAGGGGTGTGGTTTGAGGAGAGGAGAACGCCAGGGATCCTCCTGCTCCGAGAGGTCTCAGAGCACGCGATGCCAGCCAGGGTGAGATTCCGGAGAACGCGAGGAGAAACTACCGGGGAATGCAAGGGAGGGAGGGAGAGGGAGAGGGAGAGGGAGAGAGGGAAGGAGGGGCTCTCACAGGTGCTGAAGGGAGGGGAGGTCGGCGAGGGCCGTTGGCAGCGACCCCGTGAGCTGCCTCCTGCTCAGCACCCTGTCAGCGACCACAAGACGCCGCACGCAGGGCACGGGCCCAGTGGCCGACACAGGGGGTGGCGGGAAGGGGAAGGAGGAGGGGGAGGGGGGGGAGGGAGGGAGGGAGGGAGGGAGGGAGGGAGGGAGGGAGGGAGGGAGAGAGGGAATCAATATTTGAGGCGACTAAAAAATGGGCGCAGTGGCCATGGTGGGGGGAGTGGGGGGGGAGGGGGGACTGGTGCAGGGGGAGAGCGGGAGAGAGGAGTGACAAGGCATGCAGATGGGTTTCGATCTGGAGTGCTCTCTCGCCAGATGGCTGCTAACAGGCGGCGATGCCAAGATACCCTCGCATTAACCGCGCCCATCCCCCACCCCGGCCCAGACCATGCCATACCATGCCATACCATACCATACCATACCATACCATACCATACCATACCATACCATACCATACCATACCATACCATACCATACCATACCATACCATACCATACCATACCATACCATGCCATGCCATACCATGCCATGCCATACCTTACCATGCCATGCCATGCCATACCTTACCATGCCATGCCATGCCATACCATACCATACCATGCCATACCATGCCATGCCATGCCATACCATACCATACCATACCATACCATACCATACCATACCATACCATACCATGCCATACCATGCCATGCCATGCCATACCATGCCATGCCATGCCACCGTGCCATGCCGTGCCATGCCGTGCCATGTCGTGCCGTGCCACGTCACATACAATTTGAGTACGTGTCCCCTCGCGTCACACGTCACCCCCGCCATCCGCGCGCACGGTCTGCCGCTCTGCCACGTGGCGCTCCCGGGGAAGGCGCCCCACTCCACCTTGAGCTGCTCCAACACCATCACTGCGCGCCGATACAACGGGGGGCGCGCGGATGGGGGGAAGGCGGAGGGGGAATGATGAGACAAAATGGGAAAGGGGAAGGGGGGGGAGGTGGGGGCCAGGGGGGTGGAGGAATGTCGGAAGGGGAACGCGGAGCGAGGTGAGGCGGAGCGAGGTGAGGCGGAGCGAGGTGAGGCGGAGCGAGGTGAGGCGGAGCGAGGTGAGGGGACGGTGAGGCGGAAGGGACGCGGGAAGGGGAGGGCCACATAAGCGGGAAAACGTGGCGGTTGGGGATGACTGGGGGTGGGCCTAAGCTTCAAGTTGCGCGGAAGCCGCAAGCTTCAAGTGGGGGGAGGAGAGCCGGCCCACGTGACGAGGCGGTGTTGGGGAGGGTCGGGGCACAGGGGGCCGAATTGTCGGTAACTAGGTTTCCAAAACGGGCTTAGCTTACAAGAACGTATCATGACGGTCCTACGGTCCTACGGTCCTGCGGTCCTGCGGTCCTGCGGTCCTGCGGTCCTGCGGTCCTGCTTACTATCTGCGTCGCTTATGTTCTGCGCGGCGGCGAACAGGAAAAACGCCGACCGACGCCTACTAGCGCGTGCATGGCTCCGTTCCACCATGGTTGCTCCCCGCGGCGGAAGTTCCGCCATGGCGTGCAGCAGCGCAAGGGCGACCGCTACCCGCATGGCAAGGAGCGCGTGACGGCGCCGACGGCGCGGAGAACCCCCGCGCATGATGGCGCGCATCGAATGGGACGGGAACGGGACTCCACGGAGCGGGATAAGACGAGAAGCGACGGACGGGACTCGACGCGACGCGACGGGACGGGACGGGGCGGGACGGGGCGGAACGGGGCGGAACGGGGCGGAACGGGGCGGAACGGGGCGGGGCGGAGCGGGGCGGCAGGCGGAGCGCACAGAGGCGGGAGGATTCTATGCTACTTCCGATGTCCCGGCCTGTTTTGTCTTAGCGAGGGGAACGGGAGGCTGCCATGGGACGTCCGCGGTTTGTGCAGGCCGTGCCGCGCTAATTTTGTGGTCGTCCGCTACGCTCAGCTAAGCGGAAGTGGGAGGGGAAAGGCAGAGGTGCCACGAGTCACGAGTCACGATGTGGAATCAAACTAGATCCAGGTGAGCATCTCAGGAACATTGGTCAGTCATGGTGGGGAGGTACATGTACCGTATCGCGTAAACGCACTCCTCTCCCCAGCTCTCTCCACAAAAGCGTGATGTGTACTGTAGTTGTTTCGTTTGGTCTCCCTCCCCACCCTGAGTCCCCTGACTGAGGTTCCACTCCACAGTTCTAGTGTTCTGTTCTGTACAGTACTCTCTGCCGCTGCAGGGCTGTGAAGTGCAGTGCAGTGCTGTGAAGTTCCAACCCCTTCACGAACACATGGGAGGAGGACGCCGATGGGTGACTGCGTTACCCTAGCGAGGCGAAGGACTCCTCTCCCCGACCCAACCCTCCGCTGTCGCAGACTTCGGCGAGGCATCCCGTCGCATCTCCCAATCGCAGGACGCTGTAACGACGAGTCCCACGACATTGTTGCTGCGATGCTTCCTCCTAGTACCGACAAACGAAGCAACTGACATTCTGACATGCCACAAAACGCGCGGGAAGTTTGGCTCTTCCTCCAGTTGATCGGTCGGCTCGGCAGCAAGGGCTGCAAGCAACCAGTGTCTGCTCTGCAACACGCCTTTTCCACTCCTTTTAGGGGGCGGTGGGGGGAGGTAACGCGTGCGCCTCATTTGCGGTTGAGTGAGATGCTCTTCGACCCAGTCAGAAGGATCCAGACCCGTAGCAAACAATATCGTCTTCTTACAAACCATTCTCGTATCATCAAGGGTAGCATAAAAAACGGCCACCTTCTTCAATATATATAAAAAGGAATAAATCAATGGGTTTGAGAGCCTAAAGCAACTTTCGATTAGACGGAGCATTTACCCTTCTTTATCTTCTTCGGGTCAGGTAGACAAATCCGGGTTCCTTGCTTCAACTTGTCAAGGCAATCGTAGCCATTTATCCACTTGTAGCAGCTCTTTATTCCCTTGAAGTACCTAAACTGGATTGTGCTGCATCGATCATTGTTGAGAACAGTGTGGAAGTTTGAGCGAGGACAAGAGCCCGCTCTATATGACGACGTTGACTGGATGCACACCTGCGTTTTCAGCATGGAAACAGAGGTCACGCGGTGAGCGCATTGCAGGCGAGGATGGGGAGGAGCGTGAGGACAGCGGGTGGAAATTGGGGGGGTGGGGGAGGTGGGGGAGGTGGGGGAGGTGGAGGAGGTGGGGGAGGTGGGGGAGGGGGGTGAAGGAATAAGGTTCAGAGAAAGCGAAGGCAGGGAAGAAGGGACAGCATGAACAAACACCCACCCCCACTATCTACTCAGAGCAACCAGCGCACCTCAAACCCAGTAGTGGCGCCGACGCCATTGGGTGGCACGAGTTTCTCGCAGTTGATCCCGGGGTTGAGGCGGTAGAAGTCGAGGCGGGAGAGCGGGGGCGAGGGCACGCTGCGCAGGGCCTCGCAGCTCTCCCCGCCCTGCACCGCGTACGTCTGCGAGCACACCGGCACCACCGCATCCCCGCCACCGCCACCAGCGTCCACCGCTGCCGACGACCGCTCCACACACACCACTTGGCTGGCAGAGAGCGCTCCGGAGTTGGTGGTACAGTCGACGCCGGGGTTGAGTGCTTGGAAGGCTTCGACACAGGGCTGGTCGGAGGGGTCGCAGTTGGTGTCGAGCCAGAAGAGGACAGCCACGGATAGGCACGAATCGCCCTGGCATGGATACAGGAGGAGTGGGAGAAGGAGGGAGGAGACAGAAGTGTTGAGGAGGTGCGGTGAGGGAGGGGTGGGGATGGGGAGAAAGGGGGAGAAGGGAAAGGGGGGGGGGGGGTTCGTCGAGTAGGTTGAAGGGTGGTGGCTGGTGCCGATACGAGAATCAGTGGGGTAGGTCCATGAGGGACAGGTGGAAGGCGGCAGGAGGGCAGTGTAAAGGGTCCAGCTCATAAGAGGCTGACCCACAAGAGGGCGACCCACTAGAAGCTGACCCATGAGCGACATACGAGGGCTCCTGACCTGAGCCGCGGTGTAGAAGACAGAGCAAAGCGGCAGGGCGGAGGTGATGTTGAGGCGTGTGTTGCGCGGCAGGGGCTTGGCGCAGTTGACGTGGCTGTTCTGAGCCTGGAACTGCAGCAGCGTCAGCCCGTACATGCTGTGCACGTCCGCACATGAGACGCCGTCCGCTAGCACCGTGTAGCTGCCGTTGCTGCTGCCTGTGGTAGTGGTTGGTGGCGAAGGGGATGTGGGGGGGGGGAATTGGAGAGACGAAGGTAGGGTAAGGAGGGGCAGGGAGGGGAGGGAGAGGAGAGGGAGGGGGGTGGAAGAGTGGGAGGGAGCGGACAGCAGCAGAAGCGAAGAGAGGGAGGAGTGAGGGGGTGAGGGGGTCCATAAGAAGAGGAGCGATGTGTGCCTGCAGGCACCACAATCAGTAGCGATTTGGTGTCACGGCAGTCAGTAGCGAAATGAGGAGTGCTAAAAATCGGAGTCTCAATCAATGGTCAATGGAGAAGGAGAAGGTACCTGGAGCGCAGGAGAGGGTGCCGTCCACAGTGGTGCCCTGCCTGAAGCCCAGAGGACACACACACGAGTACGACCCCGCCCCGTCATTCACACATGTGCCCACCGCACACGGGTTGCCGTTGCTGGACCCACACACGTCCACTGCAAGAGAGGGGAGGGGGGGAGAGGGGGGGGGGGTGGTTGAATTGAAAAGAGATGGAGTCAGCTGACAGGACCCACAGACACATCCACTATGGCCAGGGAGAGGGGATTCAAATCAAAGGAGGAGTGGGCTGATCGGGCCCACACACGGGCACAGTGCAGCGAGAGATTGGGACACAGGCAAATGAGTCAATCTTTTGGTTTGGCGTGTGCTGCAAGCCACAATCGGCGTAGCAGAGAACATCCTTGCCATGCAATAGAACTTGTCCACAGCCACCATGCCCTCCCTGCTCACCATAGACGCAGATCCGGGAGCCATAAGTCAGTCAGCATTGGTGGCCGGCAACCCTAGTCCTCCCTTGACAGGACAGCACAACCAGCCCCTTGACCCCCCGCATCACCCTGCCTGCCCTCCCTGCTCACCGTAGGCACAGGTGCGGGAGCCGTCGGCGTTGTTGGCCTGCACAAAGGGCGCGGTGCACTCGCACTTGTTGGTGCGGCCGTCGCGCCGACAGGGGAAGCCGCCGCAGGGGTTCAGCAGAGCCCCACTGCTGTCATGCGCCGCCCCCCCGTTGCAGGGGTCGCTGGAGCCTGGAGGAGAGGTGATGGGCGATGGGAAACAAGGGTGTTAACGAGTGAGATAGTGACGTATGAGGAGGAAAGTGAGGGCGGAATGTGATGGGGGGATGATGATGATGAGGAGGAGGAGGAGGAGGAGGAGGAGGAGGAAGAGCAGAAGTACCAAGCTAGGTTGTCCTGGAAAGTAACTCAGCCCAGCAGTGCTCTTGTGCACTAGCACTTCAAATCAACAAATGTAGGAATCCTCAGTATTGCCCATCTGTAACCGCACCACTAAATGGGTACGACACGAGTTCTTCCTTCCGGAGAGGTCTCCCTGACCAGCGCTGCACTCACACAGCTTTTAAGTTGACTCAAAAGCACTGCAGCACTCACCGCAGATCGTGCCGCCGTTAACATGGGAAGGAAACGAGGGCTCGCATAGTGGTCGTCCAGCCCGGCACTGCTTGTGAGAGATTCTTCAGAATTCACAAAAAACGCAGACGATTGCACCTAGCTCCAGAACTATCACGGGATCCGACATAGTAGCCAATGTATGATCGTACCACAAATGGGGAGGGGTACATACTCTTGACAACGGGGTAGAGGCCTGGCAGCGTGTTGATGCCGCACACCCCGTCGCCCCCCTGGACGTCCATGCGCATGTGGCCCCCATCGCCCCAATCAGGCCCCCATGAGTTGCGGATGATCCAGAAGGGCGGCGCCATGTGGGGAAAATCCTCGTCGCTCCCCACCAGGCGGTACCCCACCAGCAGCACCACGTGATTCAGGTTGTATGTGAAGCACTCGGGGTCCGCGTACTTGTAAAACTGAAGGATACGAAGGCAACAAGGGGGATTGGATTGGAGGCACAAAGTGGGGTTGCCAACCAACCAATAGTGGTCCAAGGATCATGGGTGATTAGCTAGCCGAGCATACAAAAGGTAGTTCCAACAGTACAGGAACAGATTGGAATCGGATACATGCAACGAACAACTGAGTTCAAGCTGAGCGAGATTGGCCTCACCCCATCGTAATCGTTGAAGGAGGGCGCTGACGCCTCGATGTGCACCACCACTGGCTGCCGCTGCACTGCCAGCATGAGCCCGAACCAGCCGTAGAAGGACGTGCGCTCGAACCCGCTGATCCTCAACCCTTTCTGGGGCTTCTTCTGTTGTTGCACACAGGCAGTTAGGCACACACGCACGCACACACGCATGAACGCGTGCGCACAAACACGCACACGCACACGCACGAGCATGCCGACATGGTATCCATGTCCCACGTGTGTTTGTGGGCAAGGCATCCATGTAAACAACAGCCGTGGCGGCAGCAGGCCGCACTGCTCACCTTGGCCTTCTTCCCCCGTGCCCTCCACTGCATCAGCGCCCGCTTCAGCCTCTCCAAGAACGGCACTCGCAGCCCCTGCGCCAGCCACCCTCCACTCTTCCCCCCACTCCCCCCACTGTTCCCTCCACTCTTCCCCCCCTTCCCCGCTGCGCTGCTGAGCTGCAGAAACTGGCTCTCCTCCAAGAGCCCCTTGCCGGCCTTGCTGGCGAGGGTGAGGTACTGGAACGCCACGAACGGCGAGCCCCCGGAGCAGTCTGCGCCCACGTCGGCACGTAGTTGGTCCACGGAGAGAAGGGGTGCGGAGCGGTGGTGTAGGATGGCATGCGCAGCTTCGATGCTCTGCACCACCCCGTACGCCCAGCAGTCACCTGAGTGTGTGGGGGGGGAAGGGGGGGAGGAGAGTGTAAGGGAGAGAATGGGGATGGATGGAGGGAGGGGGGAGGGGGATGCGGAGAGAGATGAGGGGGCGATCAGGAAGGTGGCAGCAAGCAGAGGGGAGAGCAGTGGGGAGCAGTCCGCGCCCACATCGGCGCGCAGCTGGCCCACGGAGAGCAGAGGCACGGAGCGGTGGTGCAGGATGGCGTGCACGGCTTTGATTCTCTGCACCACCCCGTACGCCCAGCAGTCGCCTGGGGGGGGGCGGGGGGGGTGTTGGAGAGGGTGGGGGGATTGCAGGCAGGGAATGGGAAGGGAGGGAGGGAGGGAGGGTGGAAGAAGGCAGGGAGAGTTCAGAGGACGAGCAGAGACGATGGCAGCATGCTCTAGAGACGGAGGGCAGTGGGAGGGAGTAGCTGTGGTGGTTGTGGACAAATGCGAAGCTGCGCAGTGGAGAGGGCTCATGAACAACAAGGGGTCCAGTCTACTACGCTAAGCACAGGGACTAACAGCAAGGGGGAGAAGTCCAGCCAGCCAGACTCCAAACCAATTTAAGTAGGTATGAAAGGAGTCCACTTTTGAGGCGCCAAAAAAAAAAGGAAGCAGGTGGGGTGGGGAAGGAGGACAAAAGGAGGGCAAGGGCTCACCGCAGGTGCCTGAGCTGAGCTCCCACTACACTACGCACAGCGAATAACAAGGGGGAGAGGTCCAGTCCAGCTGGCCAGACTCCAAACCAAAGGAAGAAGGAAGAGCGGAATGGAACAAGGACAAGGGCTGACCGCAGGTGCCTTGGTCCCTGAGCTCCCAGTGCAGCGACGGCTGCACCCACGAGTGGTTGGCGTTCACCACCCATGTCTCCACCGCCGTGCCTCCCTGTGCGGGACTGCCGGTGGTGGTAGAGCCCGCAGGCTCGTAGCCCACGCTGGCGTAGCGGAAGAGTGGGTTCACCGGCGCTGCTGCCAGCTGCTTGCTCTCCAACACGAGGCCCAGTGGGAAGCCTGGAGGTGAGGTGACGGGCGCAGGGGCGCAGGGGCAAAGGGGGAAAGGGGCGCAGGGGCAAAGGGGCAAAGGGGCAAAGAGGGGAAGGGGGGAAGGGGGGAAGGGGGGAAGAGGGCCAAGAGACGTCTCAACTGGAAATCGAGAATTTTGAGACGCCTCACTGAAAGCTCTTTACCATGAGGCCAGGGGGGAAGCCTGGAGGTGGGGGGCGCAGGGGTGATAGGGGAAATGGGGGATGGAGTGGAGGGGTGGAATGAGGAGGGGAGAGTGAGTGCGGTAAAGGAGACGGTATAGGCAGTGGTGGGTTTAGGAGGAGTAGATGGTGGGAGGTGGAGGGAGGAACGCACGTGCGTGCAACATGTTGTGTGTGCTGTGCTGTTAGAGGGATGGATTGGGAGAGGATACTTTACATGGATGAGAGGAAAAGGCACCTGCAGAAAGAGAGCGAATGCAGGAGGTGGGAGAAACACACACACACACACACACAGATGCCACACGACAAGCGAGGGCGGGGATGGTAAGGGTTACCTGTTGCAATTTGTCGGCTTGGAAACCCTGCAACCGAAAGACAGCACACGCACATGGAAATGCACATACACATGCACGCACACACGTGTGTAACACGGCCACCATTCGTAATAGCAACCCACCACACGGTCAAACAGACACATCACGGGGACACAAGGAGGAGAGTTGGGCACACAGCTGGCGGTTCCATAATCCGGTTGTGGTGTCGTTGGATGCATGCAAGCAAAGAGCTGACACAGGTTGCGCTGTCGCATTCAGCATGCTCACACTCAGCCACCCACCACCCACCCACCCACCCCGCAACACCCACCACCCACCACCCGCCACCCGCCACCCACTCCCCACTCACCCACCCTCCCACCACTGGCCACCCGCCACCCGCCATCCGCCACCCACCGGTCACGATGCTCCACGACGTGATCGTCTGCTCCTGCGGCGGCTGCCCCGATGCGCCTACGAACCCGAAGTAGTACGAGTCCACCACCGCCGGGCTCACCCCAGGCTTCAGCACCTTCCACAGCGCAATCTTCACACTCAGCACCGGCACCACCGGCTTATCTCCTGCCCCCGCACCCGCTCCGGACGAACCTCCAGACGCCAAGAACACCTCCAGCAGGCCGCCCTTGAGCGGCGAGTACGTGACCCACGCCTGCTTCTCGCCGCCGTCGTTGAGCGTGAGGGACGGCGGGAGGGCGGCGGAGGCGAGGGAGACGGTGGAGCCGGCGGCATCCACGCCCACGTGGTTGCTGCTGGGGTCCTTGGCTGCTGCGTCCATCCGCGTATCAAACTCCACCGCCACGCTCTGTGCATCCATGCCTGCGTACCCCAGGTCTGCCACCCCGCCGCCCCCCCCACCGCCAGCACCAGGGTCGTTGCCAGGCGGGATGTTCGAAGCGGAGATCACGAACGCGAAGCCGCTGGTGCCGTTGCCGTGGTCGGCGGCGAGGCGGAAGGCGAACTCCGCCTCGAAGCCGATCTGGCGGCCCGCCCCGCCCGCCTTGACGTCAAAGGAGAAGAGGCGGATGGGCGCGGAGAGCAGTGCCGCACCCCACATGGCGGGCTTGGAGGGGGTGAGCGTGATGGCGCCGTTGGTGGCCAGGGAGGCCGAGCCGAACATATCCATGGCCTTGGGGTTGTCCTTGGAGGTGAGGGTGACTGAGTTGGGGTCGACTGATGATGGGAGGAGGGGGCAGGGGGGAAGGGAGTGGGAGAGGGGATTGGGGAAAGGTGACAGGGGTGAGTGTGATGGCACCGTCAGTGGCCAGCGATGCGGAGCCGAACAGGGCCATGGCCTTGGGGCCAGCACACTCACATCCTTCATCCACGCACGTGCCCGGGTCCTCTCCATTCCGATACCCCTTGTCACAAGCACACGTGGGCACGCGGTTCGGGCCCTCAAAGAAGCACCTCCCGCGGCCCCCACACGGCACCCTCGTCACCGTCCCGGCCGTCGGCGACACCAACAGCCCGCAGAATGCAGCGCAGGCAGCAGCACTCCGCTGCCGATAAACCCCCTCGGGGAGGGGGACATTGTCAGGGCACAGGTACCCCGTGGGGGTGGAGAAGACGGTGGGCACGGGCAGGCAGTTGGCCCAGAGAGTGGAGCCGGCGCAGGTGGCGGGGGCGTAGGGGAACCAGGTGGTAAAGAAGTTGGAGTCCAGCTGGAACTGCTGCGTGGCCGCGGATGGCCTGGGGAGGACCGCGCCGGTGAGCTGGTTGTCGCGCAGGAGACTGCAGGGAAGGGGTGGGTGGAGGGGGGGAGAAGGTGGGGGAAGGGGGGAGAGGGGGAGAGGATGGAGTGGAGGGAGCAGGGGGTGGGGTTTGGTTAAGGCATGGCAAGGCAGTATGGTGTGGTTTGGTATGGCAAGGTGTGGTTTGGTTTGGCACTATGCTGTGGTTTGGCAGTATGGTGTGGTTTGGTAGGCAGTATGGCATGGCAAGGTAAGGTATGGTATGGCATGGCATGGCAGGCATGTGAATGCTAACGCATGGCATACACACAGCTAACATGGCATGTGTGGCTCACATGGCTGTGGCGTGTTGGATGGCAGAGAGAGTGGCAGGCAGCGAGCCAGACAGACGATTGGAGCTGAGATCGCTGGTGGAAAGAGGCAACACATGGAGGGGAGGAAGGCAGGAAGGAGGGAGGGACAGGGAGGGGGTGAGGGAGGGGGGGAAGGAGAAACTGCGAAACGAGGGTAGCGAGTATGGGAAGGAGAGCGAACTGAAGAGAGCAGAACAGGAGAGAGGAGGAGGCGCGGGCAGAGGAAGCGAGTAGCAGCGCAACCAGCCATGCAGCACAGAAGGGGAGAGCAGGGCAGGGAAGAGCAGGGAATAGAGTGCAGTGTGAGCTGGGGGGGAGGGAGAGCCTCACAGGTGTGTGAGCTTGGTGAGCAGGCCGATCTCCGAGGGGAGTGAGCCCGTCAGTGCATTGCAGCACAGGCGGCTGCAGGGACGACACACAGGGACGGGTGGGTCAGGTTAGGGGTGTCAGGTCAGGCACAGAGAAGGCGGGGGGACACAGGGATGGGTAGATAGAAAAGGGGGTTTGGGAAGAAGAGAGGGAGGGACACGGGGGTCGGCTTTGGGGGGGTGTTGGGGGGTCATCGGGCGATATCAGGCAGCGAATGGGCAGGCGGGGGACGTTAACGAGGAATGGCAGGGAGGGGGCAGCAGCAGCTGCGGGTGCAACGAGGGCATGCCATGGAGGGCATGCCATGGAGGGAATGCCATGGAGGGCATGCAGCAGAGAGGTGCCTCGTCGGTGGATACAAGTGGAAGGGAGCAGATGGGGTGAAATTTTTGTGGAAAAAAGGCACGGAACGGAGTAGGGGAAGAGGGGGGATGGGGGAGGCAGGAGACAGCATAGAAGTTGAAAGCGCACTGTATGAGGATTTGAAAGAAAACCAGCTCACATGTCCCTGAGGTTGGTCATGGCGCCGATGGCAGCAGGGATGGCGCCGGAGAGAGGAGTGTGGTGGATATGGCTGCACGCAGGGGCACACAGGGGCACACAGGGGCACGCAGGGGGCATGCAGGGGCACACAGTGGGCATGCAGGGGCACGCAGGGGGCATGCAGGGGGAGAGTGTCCACGAGGGGAGGGAGGGGCGTTCACGAGGGGAGACGGTCTGCGTGAGTCGGGGCATGCACGAGATAATACCATACCCATGCAGGTGCACGCGTGTGTTACAAAAGGAAGAGGGTGTGAGAGAGGAGACCACGGGAGGGAGACGGAGGGTCCATGAAGGAGCACGCAGAGGGGAGGAAGCAAGTGAGGGAGGGAGGGAGGGAGGGAGGGGCCTGTGGCAGCAGGAAGGAGGCGTGGGGCAGCAGCACTCACAGCTTGCGCAGCACAGAGAGGGCGGACCACTGGGACGGCAGGGAGGAGGAGAAGAGGTTGCCGCTCAGGTCGCTGCACGGCCACATGACACGGACAGGGGGGCAGGCGGGCAGGAGAGGGGAGAGGGGTGAGTACTCTAGTAACCAGGGATAGAGCGGCAAGGTGATGTGCAGTGAGGTGTGGTGTGGTGAGGTGAGGTGAGGTGAGATGAGTTGAGATGAGGTGCGGTGCGGTGCCGTGAGATGTGATGAGGTGCAGTGGAGAGGGTGGAGAGGAGAGGGTGGGAGGGAGAGCGCACATGGTGATGATGAAGGGGATGTTGCTGATGGTGGCTGGCAGGTCACCGGAGAACTCGTTGTTGGCCAGAAACCTGATGGGTAACAACAAGGGAGCAACAAGGGAGCAACAAGGGAGCAACAAGGCAGCAAGGCATGTGCGGGACAGCAACGGGGCTAGGCAACAGGGACGAGCACAGGAGAGCACGAGGGAGGGAGGGATAGAGGGCGGGAGGGAGGGAGAGAGGGCGTGGCATGGCGAGGCGTGCTGACATTTGATCAAGGGAAGTGAGGTCGCCCAGAGTAGATGGCGGGAGGCCGGAGAGCGCGTTGTCACTCAGCTGACTGCCACGGACCAAGGGAAGGAGGGCGGGGAGAGAGAAAGAGAGGGGACTGCAGGGTGCTGCAGGGTGGGGTGTACTGCGGGGTGCTGTGCTGCGAGCTATGTGGTGTGAGCCTAGCTAACCCTACTGCGCTGAGCCTAGTGCGGGGAGCCATGTGCTGCGCGGTGGCTTGCAGGAAGCCTAGCTGAACCTAGTGGTGCGAGGGTAGTGGTGCGAGGGTAGTGGTGCGAGTGCGAGGGTAGTGGCGCGAGGGTAGTGGCGCGAGGGTAGTGGCGCGAGGTAGTGCTTGGGCGTACAGGGTGCGCAGGGTGCGAATGGAGCCGATGGTGGGCGGCAGCGACCCCGAGAGGCGGTTGCCGTTGAGCCGACTGGCAGACAGGACAGGGTGCAATACCGAGGGTGGGGCAGCAGTGCAGGGATGGGGTTAGGGGGTTGTAAGCTGATACAGCCACGGGAAGTTGGTCGGAATGAGTGGTCCTGAGGGTCCATGCATGCGCAGATGTCTGTTACAGATAGGCTGCAATTCGGTTGGCACAACTTTGTGTGTTGGCACTTTGTTGGTTTTAGGGATACGCACATTTGTTAGGTTGGGTGTAGCTATGTTTTCATCCCCAACCTATCCCAACCCAATCCATCCCAAATCCCCACGATTTGGGAGGATTCCCTCGGGATTCCCTCCGATTCTCCCTTATCCCTTCCCATCCTCTCCGATGCTCAGTACTTAAGGATGTATGCTCTTGCTCATTTCAATCAATCAAGTTCTCAGTTTCTGATAATGTCTGCATGTGAGCACTGAGCACGCGTGTGTGTATGCGTGCACATGTGCAGTACATGCATGTGCACATGAGTGCATGAGTGCATGAGTGCATGAGACGAATGAATGAGTGGCTCACAGGTTTTGCAGCACAGGGAATGATCCAATCTCTGCGGGCAAGGAGCCGTCCAGCCAGTTGGAGCTCACATCCCTGTGTGCACAGGGATGCGCACACACGAGAACACCCGAGCACAAGAGCATGCATGCGTGCACACAGGGACGCACCAGCACATGCAGTCACGCACACGCATAAAACCAGGACCAGCACCAAGAAGGCATGGAGAAGAATCAAGAAACAGAATCATCCCAAGGAGATTTACTTGGGACCTTGCCATGTTATACCATGCCATGCCATGCCATGGCATCACTGCAGCTGCAGGCTCGAGAACAGCAGAAGCATCACAGAGGGACACGGACAGAAGAACCCTCAAGAGGCCCAGCACAGTGATACAGCAGCACGGGCTGCATGAGCTACACTACCCTTACACTGGTGCTTTCACACGGAGATGCATGCAATGTGGTGTGTTAAACTGGTGCTGTCACAAAGCACATGCAGCACAGTCGAGTCTCTGAAGAGTTGGTTCTCTGAGCAGCACAGCCCGAAAAGAGAGCAAACTAGGGAACGGGCGGAGGAAAGTGGGCTGTGGCTTACAGCGTCTGCAGCAGCGGGAGACGAGTGAGGGTGGGCGGCAAGGAGCCTGTCAGCTGGTTCCTGCTGAGAATGCTGGGGGAAAAGCGGGGGGGGAGGGGAGAGAGAGAAGGGCGAGAGGGAGGGAGGGGCGAAGCAGGCAAATAAGGTGAGGGGAACAGACGGAAAAGGGAAGGGAAGGAAAGGAGGGAGGCGGGGGAGCAGGACGCAAAGCAATGAAAGAGAATGAGGACGGGACGGGAGGGGCAGGCAGGGCAACGAACAACATCTGGATTGAGGCACTCAGATAAGAGGGTGAATAACTAACAGGTACATGGAGAGAGAGTGTACATGGAAAACGGGTAGATCGAGTGGGTGATTACTAACCGGAGTGAGTGACGTGCACAGAACGAAAGCGAATGGGCATGGGTGTGCATCAGGTCAAGTAGGAGCAGTAGAACCATGCATAGTAGAGTGGGCATGGGTTGGTGGTGGCGATTCACGGAGCCTCGGCTGGCATGGTGAGGGCGGTTTACGCTTGCTAAGCGCAAGGCTAGGCGTAAGGTTGGACTGGACCACTGACAGTGCTGCAAGGTTGGAGAGGCGGTCAAGCGAGTTGGGGAGTGATCCTGACAGCTCGTTGTCACTCAACTTGCTGCCGAGCACGCAGGCAGGGAAAGGGAGGGAAGAGAGAGAGAAGGAGGGGAAAGGGAGGGAAGAGAGAGGAGGGGGGGAAAGAGGTGGACCCAGGATGGGAGGGGCGAGCTGAGGAGAAGAGGAGCGGCCATGGCCGCCACGGTGGTGGCAGTGGTTACGAGGTCCACATAGTGGTGCCCTAGCAGCAGCAGCAGCAGCAGCAGAGTGGAGAAGGGCAGGCAACAGAATATGGAACGGATCGCGACGACAGTGGCAAGAAGGGAGAAGGCGACGGCGACAAATCCTGAGGGAATGGTGGCGGCAGCAAGAGTGGTGGCAGCGGCAAGAGTGGTGGCGGCGGCAAGAGTGGTGGCGGCAGCGCAAGAGTGGTGGGGGCGGCAAGAGTGGTGGGGGCAGCAAGAGTGGTGGGGGCGGCAAGAGTGGTGGGGCCGGCAAGAGTGGTGGGGGCAGCAAGAGTGGTGGCGGCGGCAAGAGTGGTGGCGGTGGCACGGGCAGCGTACAGGTACTGCAGGGCCGCCATGTCCCCCAGGGTGGCTGGAATGCTGCCCGACAGACCGTTCTCGCTGACAGTGCTGGTGGACCATTATGGGTGGAGGACAGGGAAGAGGAGAGGAGAGGGAAGGAGTGGAGGAGTGAAGAGGAGCAGAGAAAGGGAGGGAGGGAGGGACTAGTCCGTGAGGAATGCGGGATATAGGGACTTGTGGAGAAAACCCGGGAGTGGTTGGAAGGAGAGTGGACGTGGTTGGTGGGGTGGACTCACAGCAGCTTGAGGCGGGTTAAGTGACCGAGCGCAGAAGGGATGGAGCCCGAGAGAGAGCAGTTGCGCAGTGTGCTGCAGAGAGGCGAGGGAAAAAGGCCGAGGGGAGGGAAGGGGAGCTGAGGGAGGGGACAGGAGGGAGGGGAATGATGACACGAGTCGACGATAGCAGGATGGCCAGCCGTGAAAGGGTATGTGCCATGCAAGTCCCGTGCTTAGCTTGAAAATGAATTCACCATGGCACAGAATAGCATGGCATGGCATGGCACAGCATAGCAAGGCATGGCATGGCACAGAATGGCATGGCATGGCATGGCATGGCATAGCATGGCACTGACAGGTATTGGAGAGAAAGGAGGCTGGCAATGGCTGCTGGGATGGAGGACGAGAGGGTCTTGAACGACAGGTCACTGCACGGCACAGCATCACACACACACACACACACACACACACACACACACACACACACACGGACGACGTGAAAAAATAAAAACTCACGCACATCAGCAAGCGCAAGTGCATGCGCGACATACGCACGTGTGCCCACACTCCCTTTCCCCGCAGGCTCCCACAGCGAGGAAGAGGAGGGGCAAACGCAGGAGAGCGAGAGTGATTCATAGAGAGGGAGAGACAGGCAGAGAGACAGAAAGAGAGAGAGGAGGGGGGAGAGGGAGTGAGAGCGAGAGAGAAAGCGTGGGAGATAGCGCATGCAGCGTGTACTAGAAGCGGTGTGTGCTAGTAGCGGCGTGTGCTAGAAGCGGCGTGTGCTAGAAGCGGCGTGTGTTAGAGGCGGCGAGCGAGCGAGCGAGAGAGCGAGCAAGCTAGCGCACATCTTGGTGATGAGCCCGTCGGCGGTGCACGTGAGGCCGTGCATGTCCTCGCAAGTGTTGTCCCCGATCCACGACGCGCGCCCCTCGAAGTTCACCCACTCCGCCCTCAGCGCCTCCACCACCGCCCCTGCCACACGCACAGGGAGCGAGACGGAACGGAACGGAACGGAACGAACGAGATGACTTTTGAGTCGACTCAGAAGCCACCCACTCCGCCCATATTGCCTCCACCACCACCACCGCCCCTGCCAGAACCTTCAGCCATAGAGCTGGGTGAGCTGCGGCTAGTAAGGAAGACAATTAGAACCTTCCGCCCACATTGCCTCCACCACCGCCCCTGCCAGAAGCAGAAGCAGAGGGGGAGAGAGAGAGGGAGAGGGAGAGGGAGAGGGAGAGGGAGAGAGAGAGGGAGAGGGAGAGGGAGAGGGAGAGGGAGAGGGAGAGGGTGAGGGAGAGGGAGAGGAAGAGGGAGAGGGAGAGGGAGAGGAAGAGGGAGAGGGAGACGGGGACGGACCCGCCGCCGCCGCCGCCGGACGCGCAGGGAGAGGGACCTGCGTGCACTGGGAACAAGGAGAGGAGGGCGCATTCCATAGGAATGAAGGCGGGGCGAACGGACGCGGACGGAGCTGGCTGGGAAGGAGCAGAGGGGGGGACTTGGGAAAGGATACTAGCAGCCGCACCGAATACTCACGAGCGGCTAGGCAGATAATGGTGCTTACACTGGGTGGGATGCAGCATGACAGCAGCAGCTTGCTTCGCGGCACCGTGGACTACTAAAAGCGCGACGATGACGACGACGACGGATAAGAGGAGCTGCCGCATCTTCCGCTTGGAGATGCGGCTGCTAGTAGTACTGCGTCTATTAATCGCTGTCGGAGTAGCGACGCCCACGCCGAGTCGGAAACGGAGTCGCCGGAGTCGGAGTTCGGGAGAGCGCGGCCCAGCAGCAGACGTTAACGTTACACGCATCGTCCGTTCTCGGAGCCTGGGTGACGTTGAACGGGCGCTTAACGCAGAGGTTGCTGCGGCTGGGACGACGAAAACTGCGGAAGGCGGGCTTTTTGTTCTTATCTTGGCGAAAAGGACGTGACGACTACAGGCTTAATTCGCGGGAAACGAACCAAATACGCGAAATGCTCTCCACGGGCAAAGCGCAGTGGCTGGGGCGTATGCCTGCTTGACAGCTAGGGGGTCGCGGCGCCCGCCCGCCCGCCGCTGCGTCTGCTCGCCTGATCTCGATATAAACTAGCGGTAGCTCTAGCGGCGAGAACGCCCGACGGAATTGATTAGATTCCGCAGGAGAAACAAGGGCTCAATCTCGCAGAGTGCGGCATTCTACGTCTCGCGTGCGGTGCATGAAACGGTGTTTTGGTGGGGAGGAGTGAGAAGGAATGGCTAAGGGGTGAAAGGGTTGCTGGGTGGGTTGCTGAATCTGGTTGACCGACGTCACGTTCGGAGGGGGTTTGGGGAAGGCAAGGCAGCCCCCCTCAAGGTTTGGGCTGATGGACGGCTTCCATCCTGTTGCTGTGGGGACACTGGGCAAGGCAGCAGCGAAGGGATGTGTGACAGTGTGACCTGTGTGGTGTGGTACTGAACTGCAGTTCCCTCGTGAGCTCACTGTGTACTGTAGTGTGTAAGTCACTCGCCCCCTCTGTACAGTACACCTTTCCCACTGAACACTCCATATTGAATACTCCAATTTACCGCTACACCTTGAGCCTGACAGAGGAACACAACTTTTCAGGGTGCCGTTAAACAAAAACGCGCACAGGTTTTGCACAGCATCATCACGGGCATGTGGGCCTTTCGCACGGGCACGAAGGTTACCATTTTGATTTTTTGCGGGGTAGGTTTGAGTGGCATATTTTTGCGAGCCATTGTTCACTTAGTTACCCTGTGTTAAGTTTCGGCGCTTTCAAGCGAGAGTTAGTTTCTCTGGTGTAGCACCAGAGTGGTGGTTGGCGGATGAGATGTTGAGTGAGTTTTTCTGGTTTGGTTTGCTCCCTTTTATACTCAGTGTAATAGGGTGAGGTGTTGGAGTCGCATTTCAGCTCCAAATATTACGGGCGTGTTCTAAATATTTCTTACATTACGAATTGAAGGTTCGTGTCGCAACAATAACTACTGCGTGGATTGTGGGAATTTGTTTTCGAGTCTGTTCCTAGGTTGACTGTCAGATGTTGAGAACGACCCCTGGCATCGGGACATCGCGACTCCATTTCGCTGCCAAGTCAGCGTTCGGTTTCATGCGGCAACGCTCAAGCCACAAACAAACCCAGTGGGGCGTGTGTAATTTTGCGAGCTCAACGAAAGGCTCGCTGACCTTCGGCGGAGCGCTATTCCGAGTGCGGCTGGAAGTTTGTAGCGAAAATGGTTGCGGCGCACATCTTTCGTCTTGTGCCGCATGTTTGTCACCGCTGTCATGATGACGCTGCACTGCTGGCTCTGTTCACGGCCCACGTTGAGTGGGCCGTTGCCCGTGTGACAACGCTAATGGGAGATGGTTTCTGATTGGGCCACGTATTGAGCTAGGCCTCCGGCGGGCATCATGTGTACATTCCGTGAAGCTGTATTCCCCGGCTATAATCATTGGCCTTACTGTCCAAAACACTCTTTACAGTAGTGGAACACATGCAACAAAAACGCATGCACCAAATGCAAGAACAGATGCAAGCCTTGAGAACACGTGTAGGACACCCGACACCGTGCAGAACAAAAACACAAGCCTACCAAAATCACTGTGCACGTTTCCCCTACAATCCGTTGTGCCAGGGGTTACCAGGAAAACCGATACTCTCTGGCGCGTCTCGGTCATTGACGCGAAGCGTTCCGTAGAATAAGTGTAATTGCTCGCGCTGTTTTCAAAAGCTGCTCAGAGGGAGTGAGGAAGCTGCGAATCAGTCGAGGAAGATGGCGTGTTGGCCTGCCATGGATGGATGTGGGAGATGTGAGGCGGAGTGGGGTGAAGGGGGCGGAGTGCCGTTATGGCAAACTGACAGGGCGAAGCCTGGAGGGGAACGGCTTTTCCTTGGTCGGGTCGGGGGGACGGGACGGGATGATCCACGGGAGGGAGCAAGATGCTGCTGGTTCATGTGATGCAAACGTGCGGGCTGAATGCTTCTGTTTGAAACTGTTTGGGCTGACCGGAACAAACCAGTTCTGACATTTGATCTACGTTTGACAAAGTACAGTTCACACCAGGTAGTGGCGTTGTGGGAATGGACTCCAGTTGAATAAGGTTTCTACGGTATTGCAGCATAGAAATCACCCAACAAAGTAAGGCGGGTAATAAACTATCGGAACGCTTTCGTGGAGAACTGTAGAGTATCGAAATCGCACGTAACTACAAAAACATGGCGCACAGAAAATACCCCTTGCGTGGCCCAAACTTTCTAGTTCGCGGACAAAACTTGCCTGCTGGACTCACCTGCTCGTCGACAAACTGTATGTACAGTTCTGCACAGAACAGCCTTTTTCCCGCCAACTGAACCCCTCTCCGGTGTAGGGGGAGGGGGAGGCGGCAAGTCTGGTTACTGGACTGACACCGAGGGCGGTTTTTTGTAACTTCAAGTGGACCTGACAAGCTGACACCCGGTCAAAAACACCAAGCCCGCGTTATTTTACACCCAGTATTTTCACAGGGATGCCGCCTAGAGGGTATTTACCCCCCGAAAGCAGCTCCTGAAGACCAGTTCCGGATACCCTCGAAAGTCAAAATTAGTTTGGAATTCTATACGAAAAGTTTACTGCTCGATTTAGTGTTTCTCGAGTCAGGAAACCCGACATCAGCTTTGGCAGTGCTCAAAGTTTTTGTCCGCGTGGAGTCTGCCACGCTTAGGCCATAGGAACAGAGAATACTGTATACGCACTCAGAAGTGGTCAGGGAGGAAACAAACATACTCCTGCCGTCCAGTTTCAGGGTGTACAATTACTGCGGGCTAGGTGTATCTCTAGGCAAGCTAATGCGGGATGAATGATGCTTGTTCTGGGCTCATGCTGTACTTGTAACGCGTTTGGCCCAAAACAACACCATACTGTCTGCCTTGTTTATAACACACCAAAAGCTTCTAGTATATATGGAAACTATTTTGGGTTGCAAAGCAACCCTTTAAAATCGGTCGTTGCACCAAATGTGCAGTGCTGTTTTTTTTTTCTAATCAGTCCAATAACCTATGCGATAAATTCTTTCGGGGGTAATGTGATGCTTACCCAAGTTCTTTTCCTATGGTGTATATTTCCAATATGCCTTTTATTGATTGTCTATATTGTTGGTTCTTTTTCTGTTTTTCCCTAATATATAAATTTTATTGCGGAAGTCACAACTATCAAAGAACCTTAGGACACTAACTAAACTTAGGAACCTAGCATAGCTAGGATACTAGGAAGGCCGCCATGGAATGCCGTGAGGAAAGTAGATCTAGGAGCGTGAGGTGAAAACTTGACGAGAAAGAAGGGGTTGGATTAGGAAGAGAGAGCAGTACAAGGAGGGGATTGTACCCTCTACAGAAAGGTTCAGTAACAACCTACCAAGCCTATATTAAATTATAACTTATATAATTTTAACACACCCCCTAGGCTTGGTAGGGTCATGCCCACGCACACACCCACACCCACACCCACAACCACACCCCCTAGCCCAGCACCCCCATTCCCAGCAGGAGCCGCTACGACTCCGGAAGAGGGCAGCTCCCACGACCCGTAAGATGGCAATGGCGGCAGCGGCGACAGTGACGACAGCGGCGGCGTCGGCGGCGTGCGGCAGTCCCAGGACCGCGGCAACAGCGGCGGCGGCGGCTCGAACGTCAGCGGCCGGTGCAGCGGCCCCCGCCCTCTCGGCAGCATGTCCAGTCTCCTCGGCGGTGGGAAGGGCTCTCATGAGGCAGTCGTCGGCCGCAGCAAGAAAGGGGGAATGCACGGGAAGGAGGTGGAGGTGGGGGGGGGGGGGGGGGGGAGGGGGCGGGGCGAGTCTTCAGCGACGCCCCATAAGTGGCGCGGCGCTTACTGGCAGGAGGGCGGGCAGGTGGCGGTTACGACGGCGTGCTGCCCGCTGCCGCCCATCGACGCTGCCGCGGCAGCATGACGACGTCGCCAGAGCGCGGCGTCGACGCTGTGGTGGCACGCCGACGCTGCAACGGCAGCAAGGTGACGCTGCCACGGCAAAGCGTCGACGTCACCACGGCAGGGCGTCGAGGAGGCGACGGCCGCACGACGAAGCTGCCATGACAGGCCGGCATGGCCGCCACGGCGGGAAGGCAGTGACGAGAGAAATGCGCGGCGGAAGCGACGGCACGACAACGCGACGCCACAGCAGTGCGTCGTGACGGCCGCGGCACGACGCGGCCAGCGGCACGACACGGGCGCCATGGCAGCGCGAGAAGCGTGAGTAGGCGGTCCAGCAGGAAGGATCTCCTGCTCTGATACCATATCAAAGAACCTTAGGACACTAACTAAACTTAGGAACCTAGCTTAGCTAGGATACTAGGAAGGCCGCCATGGAATGCCGTGAGGAAAGTAGATCTAGGAGCGTGAGGTGAAAAGTTGACGAGAAAGAAGGGGTTGGATTAGGAAGAGAGAGCATTACAAGGAGGGGATTGTACCCTCTACTGAAAGGTTCAGTAACAACCTACCAAGCCTATATTAAATTAGAACTTATATAATTTTAACAACAACTCCACAAAAGAACTACAGCGCCGCATATACATCGGTTTGGGAGTGTTGTTAACGTCTCATACTATTTATCGACAAACAAACGGCGATAGAATGGTAGAAGCAATTGTCAGAACTCAGTCACTAACCACTGAGTTAAAGGAGCTTGTTAATAGTGCATCAATGCGCCCATAGCCCCCCAGGCTTTGCACGTGTGGGCATTCCCAAAGGATCTTCTCAAGGGTTACCCGAGCGGGTCTCTCGATACCCCCCCTCGCTGGGATAGGCGGAGGATACGCGCGCCTCTGCAGCGCTAGCACTGGGAATTGAACCCGAAGCACCAACGCTCTGATACCATGTCAGAACTCAGTCAATAACCACTGAGTTAATAGCAGGTCAGTGCGCCCATAGCCCCCCAGGCTCTGCACCTGTGGCCCTTCCCTAAGGATCATCTCAAGGGTAACCCCAGCGGGTCTCTTGACAGCAATGACAACATTCCTACTATGTAACAAATTTGGTTTTGAGAATGTTGCGAGAACCTCACACCATTTATCGTCGATGATGTACGGCGGAAGAATAGTAATAAGCCCCCCCCCCCAACATCATAATGCATGCAATAGGAAATTATTATTATTCGGATGCATCGAATGCGACAAATTTACAGTAATACAAGTATATATTTAACGAGACAATCGTGAATGCAATGAAATGGATACGGCAATGCATTCGTGCTACAATACAGATTGACATGCACGTTAAAAGAGCACATTCCCAAACCGACAACGCGAATCATAAACTGCATTTTGCACAATGCACATTAGCACCGCTTGTTGCAAACGCAACACAACA